ATACAGTATTGTATCTGTGGTGATACACATTGAACCACCGAGTTACGAGTGGCGTAACGATAAGGCGATACAGTATTGTATCTGTGGTGATACACATTGAACCACCGAGTTACGAGTGGTGTAACGATAAGGCGATACAGTATTGTATCTGTGGTGATACACAGTGAACCACTGAGTTACGAGTGGTGTAACGATAAGGCCATACAGTATTGTATCTGTGGTGATACACAGTGAACCACAGAGTTACGAGTGGCGTAACGATGAGGCGATACAGTATTGTATCTGTGGTGATACACATTGAACCACAGAGTTACGAGTGGTGTAACAATAAGGCGATACAGTATTGTATCTATGATGATACACAGTGAACCACCGACTTATGAGTGGCGTAACGATAAGGCGATACAGTATTGTATCTATGATAATACACAGTGAACCACCAAGTTACGAGTGGCGTAACGATAAGGCGATACAGTATTGTAACTATGATGATACACAGTGAACCACAGAGTTACGAGTGGGGTAATGATAATGCGATACAGTATTGTATCTATGATGATACACAGTGAACCACCGAGTTACTAGTGGGGTAATGATAAGGCAATACAGTATTGTATCTGTTGTGATACACAGTGAACCACCGAGTTACGAGTGGTGTAACGATAAGGCAATACAGTATTGTATCTGTGGTGATACACAGTGAACCACAGAGTTACGAGTGGTGTAACGATAAGGCGATACAGTATTGTATCTATGATGATACACAGTGAACCACTGAGTTATGAGTGGCGTAATGATAAGGCGATACAGTATTGTATCTGTGGTGATACACAGTGAACCACCGAGTTACGAGTGGCGTAATGATAAGGCGATACAGTATTGTATCTGTGTTGATACACATTGAACCACAGAGTTACGAGTGGTGTAACGATAAGGCGATACAGTATTGTATCTGTGGTGATACACAGTGAACCATTGAGTTACGAGTGGTGTAATGATAAGGCAATACAGTATTGTATCTGTGGTGATACACAGTGAACCACTGAGTTATGAGTGGCGTAATGATAAGGCGATACAGTATTGTATCTGTGGTGATACACAGTGAACCACCGAGTTACGAGTGGTGTAACGATAAGGCAATACAGTATTGTATCTGTGGTGATACACATTGAACCACCGAGTTACGAGTGGTGTAACGATAAGGCGATACAGTATTGTATCTGTGGTGATACACAGTGAACCACTGAGTTACGAGTGGTGTAATGATAAGGCAATACAGTATTGTATCTGTGGTGATACACAGTGAACCACAGAGTTACGAGTGGCATAACGATGAGGCGATACAGTATTGTATCTGTGGTGATACACATTGAACCACAGAGTTACGAGTGGTGTAACGATAAGGCGATACAGTATTGTATCTGTGGTGATACACAGTGAACCACCGAGTTACGAGTGGTGTAACGATAAGGCAATACAGTATTGTATCTATGATGATACACAGTGAACCACTGAGTTATGAGTGGCGTAATGATAAGGCGATACAGTATTGTATCTGTGGTGATACACAGTGAACCACCGAGTTACGAGTGGCGTAATGATAAGGCGATACAGTATTGTATCTGTGTTGATACACATTGAACCACAGAGTTACGAGTGGTGTAACGATAAGGCGATACAGTATTGTATCTGTGGTGATACACAGTGAACCATTGAGTTACGAGTGGTGTAATGATAAGGCAATACAGTATTGTATCTGTGGTGATACACAGTGAACCACTGAGTTATGAGTGGCGTAATGATAAGGCGATACAGTATTGTATCTGTGGTGATACACAGTGAACCACCGAGTTACGAGTGGTGTAACGATAAGGCAATACAGTATTGTATCTGTGGTGATACACATTGAACCACCGAGTTACGAGTGGTGTAACGATAAGGCGATACAGTATTGTATCTGTGGTGATACACAGTGAACCACTGAGTTACGAGTGGTGTAATGATAAGGCAATACAGTATTGTATCTGTGGTGATACACAGTGAACCACAGAGTTACGAGTGGCATAACGATGAGGCGATACAGTATTGTATCTGTGGTGATACACATTGAACCACAGAGTTACGAGTGGTGTAACGATAAGGCGATACAGTATTGTATCTGTGGTGATACACAGTGAACCACCGAGTTACGAGTGGTGTAACGATAAGGCAATACAGTATTGTATCTGTGGTGATACACATTGAACCACCGAGTTACGAGTGGCGTAATGATAAGGCGATACAGTATTGTATCTGTGGTGATACACATTGAACCACAGAGTTATGAGTGGTGTAACGATAAGGCGATACAGTATTGTATCTGTGGTGATACACAGTGAACCACCGAGTTACGAGTGGCGTAATGATAAGGCGATACAGTATTGTAACTATGATGATACACAGTGAACCACAGGGTTACGAGTTGGGTAATGATAAGGCGATACAGTATTGTATCTGTGGTGATACACAGTGAACCACTGAGTTACGAGTGGTGTAACGATAAGGCAATACAGTATTGTATCTGTGGTGATACACAGTGAACCACAGAGTTACGAGTGGCGTAACGATGAGGCAATACAGTATTGTATCTGTGGTGATACACATTGAACCACAGAGTTACGAGTGGTGTAACAATAAGGCGATACAGTATTGTATCTATGATGATACACAGTGAACCACCGACTTATGAGTGGCGTAACGATAAGGCGATACAGTATTGTATCTATGATAATACACAGTGAACCACCAAGTTACGAGCGGCGTAACGATAAGGCGATACAGTATTGTAACTATGATGATACACAGTGAACCACAGAGTTACGAGTGGTGTAACAATAAGGCGATACAGTATTGTATCTATGATGATACACAGTGAACCACCGACTTATGAGTGGCGTAACGATAAGGCGATACAGTATTGTATCTATGATAATACACAGTGAACCACCAAGTTACGAGCGGCGTAACGATAAGGCGATACAGTATTGTAACTATGATGATACACAGTGAACCACCGAGTTACGAGTGGGGTAATGATAATGCGATACAGTATTGTATCTATGATGATACACAGTGAACCACCGAGTTACTAGTGGGGTAATGATAAGGCAATACAGTATTGTATCTGTTGTGATACACAGTGAACCACCGAGTTACGAGTGGTGTAACGATAAGGCAATACAGTATTGTATCTATGATGATACACAGTGAACCACCAAGTTACGAGTGGTGTAACGATAAGGCAATACAGTATTGTATCTGTGGTGATACACATTGAACCACCGAGTTACGAGTGGCGTAATGATAATGTGATACAGTATTGTATCTATGATGATACACAGTGAACCACCGAGTTACGAGTGGCGTAATGATAATGTGATACAGTATTGTATCTATGATGATACACATTGAACCACAGAGTTACTAGTGGCATAATGATAAGGCGATACAGTATTGTATAAGCTTGCTGGGAACTTTTTGAGGCCTGTACACTGGGGAATGGTTCTTCATGACATGATTGGCTAACGTAAGTTTGTTACGGCGGTTCCAACTGGCTGACTTTACCAAGCTAGTTTGCAGGCCTTTATATACATGTACTGACTATGTAGGTCCCTTCTGCAGCTTTAAACCAGATATGATGAACTGGACATCATGACACCATCAGGCACAGTTTTAGGATATGTATACAGATGCATGTATCTCTGTCAGTATACATGCATCCCACCTGTCCTGCCTGTAGGGCTTGTACCCGTGACAATCTGGTGTAGAATAGGTCTTCAGCAACCCATGCTTGCTGTAAAAGGTGACTATGCTTGTCGTAAAAGGCGACTAACGAGATGGGGTGGTCAGACTCACTGACTTGGTTGATGCATGTCATCGATCCCAATTGCGTTGATCGATGCTCATGATATTAATCACTGGATTGTCTGGTCCAGACTCGATTATTTACAGACCGGCGTCACATTGCTGGAATATTGCTGAGTGTGACGTTAAACAACAAACCAACCAACCAACCAAATGCTACAGGAACTGATGGAGCGACTGTTGACAATACTTGTTCAGTAATAATTCTAGGGTGAGGCCTTGTGCATTTAGCTCCTAAATTTGAAAAGAGGCCACATTTATAAATACAATAGGGCATTTTTACATTGTGCTGTATGGGCAAGTGTGGGTGTACCTCTGGAATATATGAAATTTTCACATGAAGGCCCATGTCAGAAAATTCCTAGAGTAAACCCTGCTTGTTTTCTAAAACAAAAGAGAAAGTTCCTGGTATAAAAATATATGCAAACACATATGAATACTGAATATATTAAATATTATCTTACCTTAATTGTAAATGTTTTAAGATACTTCAATTTTATAGGTCAATTAAGTTTTCATAAATTTCCATGTGCCCTACTACGAAAGTGTACAACTGGAAAAAGATATTCCCCGTCTTCATGGCAACAAACATTTTGTTGATCTCTCCCTGCTGTGAAATGTTGTCATTTAATGTATTTGACATTAATGGTGTTGTGTAATGTATATTAACATTGACTTTGATGTCTTCTGGAGCTCACATCAAGCCATATTCCTCTCCATATTCCATATTCACACAGCATGATAAAGCATGATAAGAAATTAATAGGAAAATGTTCTTTAATAAGTACCTAGTTGGCTGTTTGAATATCAAAGGGACGCGACGTTAAACCTCATTTCACCTCACCTTAACACAGTGTCAGTACAGTATTCATTCTCAGAGTTCTAGATATGTTTTTGAATATTTGAGTATTTTACCCACGGGTTTGATTTTGTCTGGGAATGCACACTTTTTAGAGGGTATTCAATTTTTTTCACCCACCCGTTTCTTGACATTTGGGTATTATGGACATCGTTTCAATTGGCTCACATGAAAATACAGGGGTAAATAAAATAAGTAAAGATATAAAAATCAGTTTTCCATCTAAATCTTGTTTCAGGGAAGGCCGACGTTACGTAAAACAACACTGGTCTGATGTTCATCCTGGCGACTTCATCCACTTGTCTTGTAATGAAATCATCCCTGCTGATATCCTACTGCTGAAGTCCAGTGACCCGATGGGGCTCTGCCACCTCGAGACCAGCAATCTGGACGGGGAGAACAATCTCAAGCAGAGGCAGATAGTCAGCGGATTCGAGGTACGTGCTGGATGGTTGGTTTGGTGTTGTTGAGCATGGGAGTTTGGGCAGTGTGAGTGAATGCTGTTTATGCAACAGTCAGCATTATTCCAGCTTAGTCATTGCAGCTTGAAAATAGTCACACTAGTTGTTGTTGAGCAATACGGTAAGCTTAATATGTTGTCCAGATACATGGCACTGAATCAGCCTGGTGTCTGCTTGCCCGACCATGGCTCTTAGTGTTACCATTATTCGCTGAGCTTATGAGGGTAACGTATCTGACTTGAGACTAGTGGCTTAAGCCATGGACAAAATAACCACTTGATACCTACTTTATTCAAGCATAGGGTACTGGGGACAACGAGCATTGGGTACTTGGGACAATGAGCATAGGGTACTGGGGACAACAAGCATCATAGGGTACTGGAGACAACAAGCATAGGGTACTGGAGACAACAAGCATAAGGTACTGGGGACAACAAGCATAGGGTACTGGGGACAACAAGCATAGGGTACTGGAGACAATGAGCATAGGGTACTGGGGACAGGGAGCATAGGGTACTGGGGACAACAAGCATAGGGTACTGGAGACAACAAGCATAAGGTACTGGGGACAACAAGCATAGGGTACTGGGGACAACAAACATAGGGTACTGGAGACAACAAGCATAGGGTACTGGGGACAATGAGCATAGGGTACTGGGGACAACAAGCATAAGGTACTGGGGACAACAAGCATAGGGTACTGGGGACAACAAGCATTGGGTACTTGGGACAATGAGCATAGGGTACTGGGGACAACAAGCATCATAGGGTACTGGAGACAACAAGCATAGGGTACTGGAGACAACAAGCATAAGGTACTGGGGACAACAAGCATAGGGTACTGGGGACAACAAGCATAGGGTACTGGAGACAATGAGCATAGGGTACTGGAGACAACAAGCATAGGGTACTGGAGACAACAAGCATAGGGTACTGGAGACAACAAGCATAAGGTACTGGGGACAACAAGCATAGGGTACTGGGGACAACAAGCATAGGGTACTGGGGACAACAAGCATAAGGTACTGGAGACAACAAGCATAGGGTACTGGAGACAACAAGCATAAGGTACTGGGGACAACAAGCATAAGGTACTGGAGACAACAAGCATAGGGTACCGGAGACAACAAGCATAAGGTACTGGGGACAACAAGCATAAGGTACTGGAGACAACAAGCATAAGGTACTGGGGACAACAAGCTTAGGGTACTGGAGACAACAAGCATAGGGTACTGGGGACAACAAGCTTAGGGTACTGGAGACAACAAGCATAGGGTACTGGGGACAACAAGCATAGGGTACTGGGGACAACAAGCATAGGGTACTGGAGACAACAAGCATAGGGTACTGGGGACAACAAGCATAAGGTACTGGAGACAACAAGCATAGGGTACTGGAGACAACAAGCATAAGGTACTGGGGACAACAAGCATAGGGTACTGGGGACAACAAGCATAGGGTACTGGAGACAATGAGCATAGGGTACTGGGGACAATGAGCATAGGGTACTGGGGGCAACGAACATAGGGTACTGGGGACAACGAACATACGGTACTAGGGACAACAAGCATAGGGTACTGGAGATAATGAGCATAGGGTACTGGGGACAATGAGCATAGGGTACTGGGGACAGTGAGCATAGGGTACTTAAATGTTAAATGATGGTACTTGTTGTTACCCTGTCTGGCGCTCGGCATTAAGGGGCTAAAACAAGGACTGGTCAGTATGCTGTGTCTGAGTGGGGTTTTCATGTTAATTTGAGGCATGATATCTCCGTGGGCTAGCACTATAAATTGGATCAGTCCAGACTTAGTTACAAGCAGCCACACACACATCCACACGCACACACACACACACACACACGCACGTGCATGCACATCGCTATATTAGTGCTATAATCTTGAATGCAACGTTAATCCCCATTTCATCTCGCAACCACCTTCCTTCACTCTCATTGTGATGTGGCTGTCAATATTGCTGTAAGCACCATGTAGTGTGTACCCATTATCACATCTCTCTATTCCTGTATGCCCATGTGGATGCAGAACATAACTGTTGCAACTAAACTGTGATCTATAGGCTGAGATTGTGTTGCATTCAGTGATGAATGGCAGCCCACAGGTAAGCCAATACTGTGACATCAATAATTGATTCGGTGTGTACAGAAGTCAACAGCACTGTCAAACAACTTAGCCTTTTCTTGTGATCAGTCAGATCTCATTTGGAATATCGCAGGGGAGTATTTATCACGTCAGTTACAAAATCAGTAGTATATTATGACCTTGAGGAATCAATTCATTTGTTTTAATTCAGTACCTTTTTCAGCCTTGGATCTTTGACTTTCTTCGAAATTACTAACATTGTACTATGTAATTCAGAAGGTGATAAAGAAGTACCGTGCTTGTAAAACTTGTTTAATAGTCTTGGCTGGATTTGTGGATTAATTAATTTGATAAATACGAAATATAATATATTCTGTTAGCCCATTAGCTTGTTGAAGCTTAGTTTTGTGACATTTAGTTTTGTGGAATAGTCTGACCTTTTCTGTGTTTGGGGGGCACGGGTGGCCCAGTCGTCTAAGGTGCCGCGATTCGCTGTGCATAGTTGCGTCCCTTGGACACGCCAGAAACCTATGATTGTGGGTTCGAATCACGGTTCGCCCCCATTATGTTTTTTAGCACCATACCTGTGCTTGTGGGTTTCAACGAAGTGGTAAATGTCTCAGACCTTCATCACTTCGGGCTTTCCTCCCACATCAAGCTGACACGCCGTGATATAACTGGAATACTGTTAAAAGTGGCATTAAACCCAACTCACTCACTCACTTTTCTGTGTTTGCAGTGTTGGTGATGATGGTGCTAAAACTGAAAACAAATAATAAAAACTTGAATAACTTTCCATGTGTATGTGGTCATGTTGACATTTCACAGCTGTGTACAGCGTACAATTGATTATCTACTATACAACCAGGAAATGGTTTTTACCTCAGTGAAGCTGTTCAGTAAGGACACTCATTGATATTCCATAACAGGAATTAAAAAATTTCTTGGTTGATGTGACAACCTATCGTCCAGACTGAAATTAAGATTACGGGTTTCACTGACCTGAGAGTTTTGGGTCTTTTGGAACTTTGGATTAGAGGCAGCTTATTTTGTAGCTTAATATACCGTATTCGACGTAATAAGCGCCCCACTCTAATAAGCGCCCACGGCGACATTTGCTAAGAAATTGGCTAGTGAACAATCCCAATTAGCACCCCTTCCGATTGATCAATGTACACAAGACTTATTTATTCGCGTATAATACGCACTCGTGTGTTATATGCACCCTTAATTATGGGCATTTAATTCTGGAAAAATATATCTGTCGTACATAAACATTTCAGGCTGTCAGCATAAACCACGAAATGTATCTTTCAACTCTGTTTTTTTCCACCAAAATAACCTTTTAATAAGAGCCCCCTATTTCTAATTTTGAGAGCGCCCTGGGCGCTTATTACGTCAAATACGGTAAGCAATTTGTGGCAAATTAAATTATTTAAACTATTATTTATTTTGTAGCTAAATATGGCCATTTACACCCGTGAATTATTTAAACTATTATTTATTTTGTAGCTAAATATGGCCATTTACACCAGTGAATTATTTAAACTATTATTTATTTTGTAGCTAAATATGGCCATTTACACCAGTGAATTATTTAAACTATTACCGTATTCGACGTAATAAGCGCCCAGGGCGCTCTCAAAATTAGAAATAGGGGGCTCTTATTAGAATATTATTTTGGTGAAAAATGCAGAGTTGAAAGATAAATTTTGTGGTTTATGCTGACAGATATATTTTTCCAGAATTAAATGCCCATAAATAAGGGTGCATATAACACACGAGTGAGTATTATACGCGAATAAATAAGTCTTATGTACATTGATCAATCGGAAGGGGTGCTAATTGGGATTGTTCACTAGCCAATATCTTAGCAAATGTCGCCATGGGCGCTTATTAGAGCGGGGCGCTTATTACGTCGAATACGGTATTCATTTTGTAGCCAAATATGACCATTTATGCCAATGAAATGTTTAAATAATTTAATTATTTGAGTCAGTTCAATTAATAATGACTTGAGAATGCTTGTACACACCATAAAGAAATTATGATTAATTTTCATATCATATAACAATTTATCCATATATGTATTAATACAGTATGGCACACCAGAAATCTTTGATCCCTGGTTGGAATCCTTGTTCGACCTGATTATGTTTCTAGGTTTGTCAGCACCTTACCAGTGGTCGTGGGCTTCACCGAAGTGGTAAATGTCTAAGACCTGCATCACTTCGGGCTTTCCTCCCACATTAAGTTGACACGCCGTGATATAACTGGAATACTGTTCAAAGTGTTGTTACACTCACTCACTCACTCACTCACTCACTCACTCACTCACTCACTCATAATTATTGTCCATAAAATAACACTAAAATCTACTGAAAATGTTGCTAAGTGGAGCAATGTTCAAGGTGACTTGAAAGTTGTTGCCTATAGTGGAACTTGGTAAGCTTCATGTTCTCAATTAGTAAAATGGGAGCTGTGTTAGTTTATTACTATCACTTCATCACTGTCAATATGGCTACAAAAGGTGTCCCCTTTCATCAGCTGATGAAGTGGTCCTGCATGGGTATGCCCACCATTATGTTCTTCACACAACATGGAACTTGATGCCCTCATTAGGCAGGTATTGATTCCCCATAATGTTCGGGGCATTGTAATTCCTTGTGTCCTGTATCCTCAGGTCATATATGAATACAAAACTACACAAGTATACAATAGGACGTGTGTTGATTTGGTCACTTCTGTGGTCAAGTGGAGAGAGTGTCTGCTTGGAGAGCCGAAGGTTGGGGGTTCGATCCCAAGGCACATCATACCGAAAGACATTAAAAGATGGTACTTGTTGTTACCCTGCCTGGTCCTTGGCATTAAGGGGCTAAAACAAGGACTGGTTGGCTCAGTATACTGTGTCTGAGTAGGGTATTCATCTTCATGTTAAACTACAGCATGGTATCTCAGTGGGCTAGCGCTATAAAATTGGCATTAGTCCGGACTAGTGGAAGCAACCACGCACACACATGTGCATGCACGTTGCCATATAAATGCAATAATCTTGAATGTGACATTGAACCCCATTTCACCTCACCTTACATGCTGATTTATTGATATACATTTTTTTTATTGATTGTGAAATACTATTTCCAGTCGACATATTTAAGAAATCTGTTAGTCACTGTTACCATGGTTACAATTGATGCAAATTGACCAAATTTGGTTGAGATGTGACACGTTGTGCCTGTGTTCATGTCACTATCAACATACAAAACATGTAGCGGAAGATCGTAGGTCCAAATCCATGAGTTGATTATGTTAATAGGTTTGTCAGCACCATACTCAAGCTCATCAGAGTTCCCGTTTACCGGTAGTTACCAGTTTCTTACGGGTAAAATTAGGAGTGGACCGGTAATTCATGTGACTGCCAGTCCCTGTGGACCGGCAAATAAAGTACCTTATCAATCTTTGTTGTTGAACAAAACATTGGTGATATTCATATAAGTACATTTTTCGAACAAAGTCAGGTTGTCTGCTACCATAATTTTCAGCGACTTTGTCTCGAAATATTAAAAAAAGAGAGAAATTTGTGTGAATGATGTTTAGATCTAACTAAGTTACCTCAGAGATGACATCTTTGCACTGAACATGATGTTGAAAGAATTAAAACCAAATAAATTTCATACCTTTTTTTATTTGTTGAAAGTTGGTACTGGCAAAAATTAGAGGGGACTGGTAATTTTTAGAGTTGCCAGTCCACAAGGACTAGCAGTTTCAAAAGCCAGCGGGAACACTGATCATGTGTTTCACTGAAGTGGCAGGCCTTAGACCAGCGTCATAAATATAGAATACTAAACGAGCTCCCGTGTAATACCAATTTTATGAAACGAGTGAATAGTTGTGGTACCTGACGAGCGAAAGCTATTCACGAGTTTCATAAAATTGGTTTTACACGGGAGCAAGTCCACGGCATAATCCAATTGAGTTTAACAGAATAATACTTCAAACACGTCAAAAAAAATTGAAACGTATGAATTTAATACCATACAACGGTCCACCTTTAGAATTCACAAAATTATCGTAGGGCTAAGACTATCGCAACTCACATACTTTAACAGACTAACAACTGTCATCGCGCTACAATACGATCGCCTTGTGGAACGGGCCTTGCACCTCTAAGTTCACAATAACATCACAATACCCGATGACGTAATTTGTGGAATTTTGTTTCAAGATGTTTAGTCTACAGATTTATCCAGGATTCTGAACTTAGTTCCTTTGGCAGGCAGTTAAAGGAAAAATAGTGATTTCGTTCAAATTGGCCAGTGATGTACATATCACCTGTATAACGCCATAACATAAGTTGTTACTTTATAACATGAATTAGGGAAATTTGTTATTTCAATTTAGGAATATTTAGGAACGGTCAAAATAAATTCCTGATCTAAAGTTCTTGATCATGATGAGGAGGAGGAGGATGAGGATGAAGGAGATGAAAAATTCTTGATGATGATGACGAAGATGTTGGAGATTTAACGAGCACGTTTGGTTGATCCGAGTTTGCACTTGTTTTTTTTGTTTATTTTTATTTATCAAAGTTGTTGAATTAAGTTTCTTTTGATTTCAGAATTTAGCCTTCTCAAAAGAAAAACAATTTGAAAATTGTTGTTGTGATTCTAATCATTGTGTTTTACATTAAGTATATATATTCTTTCAGTTCAGCAACGATTTCGAGATCTCCAGGTTCCAGTATAAATTGGAGGTTGAGCTTCCAAATTCAGAAATTTACAAGTTTAGAGGCTATGTGTAAGTAGTCCAAATTGTGTCTCTGTCACTAAGTGTGTTGTTTGTTTAGCATTGTGATTTGAGAAGACAAAAAAGTTTATTTGAATGAGGATATATTGACATAAACTGGAATTTGTGCAAGCTGGACGTATTCTATGTGATATTTTTTAAAGCTAAATATCTACCTTTGTTGTTTTTCTAAATCTTACAATATTGCTTCTAAACGTTTGTCAATTAAAACTGAAAGTATAGAATATGTATGATGTTATGAATGTTTTTTGTTCTTTTTTACATGAAAGGTAATATATGTTATATTTCATATTTGGTGCCAATATCAGCTGAGTATTATATATAAAAGCAAACAACTCACAACACCTTTTAAAATTTCACGCATAATCTATTGGATTATTGTATGTCTTCAAAATGTCAGAATAACCTTTTTAATAATTACATATTTGAAAGGATATTATACATTTAAACTCTATTTTCCATTGCAGAGAAAAACAATCAAAGGAAAAGATTCCCTTAAGTAACGAAAACCTACTCCTGAGAGGGTGCATTCTGAAAAATACTGACTTCATCGAGGGAATCGTGGTTTATGCAGGTATGTTGTTCCTCCATTAGGCCCTCACTCACTTGTTGAAGTAAAGAAACAGCACACAGGATTCCAATCAGAAGAAGAAACAGGTCTCGCCCATTTGTCAGATAATGTAAAATCACAAATGCAACGTTTGAGTTCTGTCTAACAACTAGGGTATCTGACAACTGGGGTATGTCCAAGGAAATAGATTGTTAATGTGTTACATGTGTAGATCACATTTATGAACAGTAAAAATGTCAGTAAAACAACACAACATCAAGCCATTTGCCTGTGAGACACATGTATACATTAAAATACCGTATTCGACGTAATAAGCGCCCTCTGCAATATTTGCTAATATATTGGCTAGAGAACAATCCCAATTTGCACCCCTTCCGATTGATCAATGTACACAAGACTTATTTATTCTTGTATAATACGTGTGTTATATGCATCCTTAATTATGGGAAATTAAATTCTGGAAAAATATATCTGTCATATGTAAACATTTCAGGCTGTCAGCATAAACCACAAAATTTACGATCTTTCAACTCTGTTATTTTTCACCAAAATAATCTTCTAATAAGAGCCCCATATTTCTTATTTTGAGAGCGCCCTGGGCGCTTATTATGTCAAATACGGTATATAAAAAATGATGTAACAGCTAATAGATGGACCATCATCCATATCCATTGGTACAATGTGTAAAGCTCATTTCTTGTGTCCCCCACCGTCATATAGCTGGAATATTGCTTATAGCAGTGTAAAAACTCACTCACTCACTCACTCACTCACTCACTCACTCACTCACTCACTCACTCACTCACTCACTCACTCACTCACTCACTCACTCACTCACTCACTCACTCACTCACTCATAATTGTGCGAACCTTAGTAAATGTACTGCAATCTATCCCAGACATGGCTGAAACTTCAATTTAGGTGCCATCTTATACACTCAACATTTGCCAATGTTGGAGATGATCCATTAAGATCAGGGTAAGGATTGGGTCTTCAGCAACCCATGCTTGCCGTAAGAGGCGACTAACGGGATCGCGTGGTCAGGCTTGCGGACTTGGTTTCCCAATTGCGTAGACTGATGCTCATGACGTCAATCACTGGATTCCCTGGCCATGTTGTGTCAATGATGTTAAAATATAGTACTTGTTACCCTGTTTGTGCTTAACATTAAGGAGATGAAACGAGACTGGTGAGCTCAGAGTTAGTGTGCTGTGTCTGAGTAGGGTGTCCATGCTACACTGTGACATGGTATTTCAGTGATCGAGCACTATGACATTGGTATGAGTCTGTGCTAGTGCAAGCGGCCACACACACGTTCATGCAAGTCGCTGTAGGAGTGCAATTATCTTCAACACAACATCAAACTGCATTTCACCTAGGGCCAACTCGACTCATTGGTTGCCATGATAGACCTAGAATAGTACTGACTCGTTCACCCACTGGTCACCTCCCACTTTGAGGTCGCTCGGCTCGGCTCGGCTCGGCTCGGCTCGGCTCGGCTCGGCTCGGCTCGGCTCATTGGTCGCCAAGATAGACCTAGAAAAGTACTGACTCGTTCGCTCACCGGTTACCTCCCTCTTTCAGGTCACGAAACAAAGGCCATGTTAAACAACCGTGGTCCCAGATACAAGCGCAGTAAGCTGGAGCGAAAGATCAACCGGGACGTCATCTGGTGTGTCATCCTCTTGCTCTTCCTCTGCTTCTTCTGTGCGATTGGTAAGTTGGGAAACATTCTATGTATAATTATACCTAGTCTGCTCCTGATTGTTTACTGCATATGAGTGGTGTTCGGGTAGCCTGGTGCTTAAAGGGTTCTTTCATCATACTGAAGACCCAGGTTCCATTTCCCACAATTTACAAAGTACAATTTTGAAGCCCGTTTCTTGTGTCCCCTGTGGTGATGTTGCTAATGGTATAAAATCATACTTGCCGACTCAAAAGATAATATATCAATGTTTCCCAAACTCACAGTTGCCTACTCTAGACATATTGCATATTGTGGAGGGAATCTGTCCATTCAAAGAGCTTGTTAAGTTAAAGGGGAACATTATTTTTTAAAAATCTGTTTTGTTTGATGTTTCTTTTTGAAAGTATCAATTTATTACACTTCCATTGTCAGAGCTCCAGATAACTTTTTGAGCAATTGAGTTTTTACTCGAAGGTTTCTATTCTAATAGGGTTATTACATTTTTCATTGGGTAACCAATATTTTTGTCACTCATCTATTCACCATCCATTGGGTTTTTCCCAAAATGAGTAAGCATTTTGAGATTTTCAAAACATGAAATAATGTTTTAGATGTATGTCATGGATCTAAATATAGGCTTGACTCGAAATTAGCTCCGTTGTATGCATGCTGAAAAAGCTTCATTGGATGTTTACGCATGCTGTTTTCAAACAATTGGGTTTTGCATGCATTTCTGTACGCAAGTTAATTGAAAGTTATTTGGGTTTTGAATAGTTTTGGGGGGTATTTATAGAGGATTCATCATGAGTGTTTTTTAATATGGGAAATATCAACCGAGTCTTAGTTAATCGGTATGAATACCGATTAACGGGACGAGGTTGATATTTCCCATATTAAAAAACACGAGTGATGAATTCTATTTATCATTTTCACATTTTTGCTTCCAAATTAAGGAATAATTGCATTAAACATTAACATCAGCAACTTGTCGAAATCTTACGTATAGATCGTGCGTAGTGATACATGTTTTCCATAGCCATGTAAACCAAAATAAACAATTCGCAGAGAAAAAAAGTTCCTCGTATTATTTTAAACAAAATACTTGAAGAGACTTTTGCAGAATAATTGAAACTTTAATAACGGTAACAACAACGATTCTGGGTAATCTGATTATATCTCTGGTGTAACTTCACTTATAATATATAGTTTCAAATCAAACCGCTCGCTCTTCCGGTTATCTAATTTGCATATCTAATTTGCATACTTATGTCATTGGGGTATGACATACATGTTTTTATGTCATAAGCTTATGTCATGGATAAATGCTTAAGTTAAATGATAAATGTTTTTATGTCATAAGCTTATGTCATGGATAAATGCTTAAGTTAAATGATAAATGTTTTTATGTCATAAGCTTATGTCATGGATAAATGCTTAAGTTAAATGATAAATGTTTTTATGTCATAAGCTTATGTCATGGATAAATGCTTAAGTTAAATGATAAATGTTTTTATGTCATAAGCTTATGTCATGGATAAATGCTTAAGTTAAATGATAAATGTTTTTATGTCATAAGCTTATGTCATGGATAAATGCTTAAGTTAAATGATAAACGTAAATATGTTTATCCGTGGCTCTGACTGTGAATGTAATTACATCTAGTCAGCTGATGTTTGCTACAGCACATGAGCGGCGGCAGGTTAGCTTGTCAAAGACAAGTGTGTTCGGTTCTAATGTAATTACATCTAGTCAGCTGATGTTTGCTACAGCACATGAGCGGCGGCAGGTTAGCTTGTCAAAGACAAGTGTGTTCAGTTCTAATGTAATTACATCTAGTCAGCTGATGTTTGCTACAGCACATGAGCGGCGGCAGGTTAGCTTGTCAAAGACAAGTGTGTTCGGTTCTAATGTAATTACATCTAGTCAGCTGATGTTTGCTACAGCACATGAGCGGCGGCAGGTTAGCTTGTCAAAGACAAGTGTGTTCAGTTCTAATGTAATTACATCTAGTCAGCTGATGTTTGCTACAGCACATGAGCGGCGGCAGGTTAGCTTGTCAAAGACAAGTGTGTTCGGTTCTAATGTAATTACATCTAGTCAGCTGATGTTTGCTACAGCACATGAGCGGCGGCAGGTTAGCTTGTCAAAGACAAGTGTGTTCGGTTCTAATGTAATTACATCTAGTCAGCTGATGTTTGCTACAGCACATGAGTGGTGGCAGGTTAGCTTGTCAAAGACAAGTGTGTTCGGTTCTAAAATCAATGAAGCACGGCCAGAACACAGTATGTTTATCTCCAAATGGACCTTGTTGGCCTATTGACATAATTTTCAATAAATAACACAATCTCATTTCAGCAGCTGATCATGACGTGTTCATAATAAATAGAGTATTAACAAACGATGCCATTCAGAAAGTGGTCAAATGTAACAAAAGTTAGATTCTCATACTTTTTGGGGCAGAGTCCCATCCGGGGTCGAACCCACACTGAGTAAGGCAACTAATCGCCAGCACATAAAGTCAGCTATCTAACCCACTCAGCCACCGTGGCTTCTACTATTCCAAATAGGACATTTGTTAAACAGATTATTACATTCATGCTTGTATCATTTAGATTTCATGACAGTCTTGACAGAATAGGGGGCACGGGTGGCCCAGTCGTCTAAGGCACAGCGATTCGCTGTGCAGAGTTGCGTCCTTTGGGCAAGCCAGAACCCTATGATTGTGGGTTCGAATCCCAGTTCGCCCCGATTATGTTTCTAGGTTTGTTAGCACATACCTGTGCTCGTGGGTTTCACCGAAGTGGTAAACGTCTGAGACCTGCATCACTTCTTGCTTTCCTCCCACATTAAACTGACACGCCGTGATATAACTGGAATACTGTTAAAAGCGGCGTTAAACCCAACTCACTCACTCACTCTTGTCAGAATAGATGTATTTTCTATGGATAGAACAGCTTTCATCAAAACAATATGCTACTCAGACTCAAGCGAAGGTCCTTATTAGAATTGGTCTTAAGCCACCCATATTAGGAGGCGACTACGGGATCGTGTGGTCAGACATAATTAATGCAGGTCACTTAATTGTCTGGTCAAAATTTGATTGTTTACAATCTTTGCATTCAGTTTTTACATTAAAATAATTTTATTGTCTACTGGATGAGTCTATTGTTAACTGAAAGGGTCAACTTGACACAACATCAATCACAGGTAGATAAAGTTATTTTCATAACACTGTATGTGAAAGTAGACGCCGCCATATGAATCAGTTGATTGTCTGGTCCAGATTTGACTTTGTACAGGCCACTGTCCCATAGCTGGAATATTGCTGGGTGTGGCGTTAAACAACAAACTGACAAACAAAGTAATGTCAGTCCTTGGTTAGTACATGTGCACTCTATTCTTGGGTACATATGCTGGTCAGAATACGTCCCCATCATTCCCATGATACTCGTAAGAGGCGATTAACCTGAAGGTCAGGTGGCTACGTTTGTTTCATCCAAACCCGACACCGTGGATCGTTGCTCGTGCTATCAACCACAGCTTCACAGATCTTAGTATTTTCAGGTCATCATGATATACCTTGAGTAATGCTGACTGTCACTCACTCACTCACTCCCGTGTAAATGTGGTTGAACCCACCTTCAACCTTTGCCTGATGGCGGGGTCTTTTTAAGCCTCCCTGTGAAGTGAAAACAACCACTGATTTTGCTGGGGCAAATAGCAATAGGACATTATGATGATGTTATCATTCTTTTAAAGTATATTCTTCTAAAGTTACAGTATTTGAAAAGAGTCTTTTGGATGAAAATGAGTCAATGTCCCAGAATTTGAACTAATCGAAAACCCTGGAACAGTAAATGACTGTGATATTTGCCTGGAAAATAAAATTAAGCAACTATGTGGTCCTAATATTTGCTATTACTTAATTACTTTTTTCAATAACAATTTGATATGAGGATAATCTATAACCCTACTTGTTTGTTTTGAAAAATGTGTTTTCTTTTCCTTTGTATGGTGTGTTTTGCTGGTCCTTGTGTTATGATAATCCCATTAATCATGACTAAAAAGTGTTCAAAACCGCTTTTCTATTGATTGGTTATATGTTAGCCAAACCTGTTAAGTATTTGGTTTCAAATCAACTCATGTATATTCTGTAGAAATTCAATAATGTACTTCCTCTCTGGCATAAGCAGTGCATGGGGTGTCCTCCTTGTCATGTGAGGAGTGAGTGAGTGAGTGAGTGAGTGAGTTGGGTTTAATGCTGCTTTCAACAGTATTCCAGTTATATTGTGGCGTGTCAGCTTAATGTGGGAGGAAAGCCCGAAGTGATGCAGGTCAGGTTTACCACTTCAGTGAAACCCACGAGCACAGGTATGGTGCTGACAAACCTAGAAACATAATTGGGGCGAACCGGGATTCGAACCCACAATCATAGGTTTCTGGCGTGCCCAAGGGACGCAACTCTGCACAGCAAATCGCGGCGCCTTAGACGACTGGGCCACCCGTGCCCCCTGTCATGTAAGGAAACGTACGAGACATCAGTGACTGAGATTAGTCAGTTCAATGTAAAACAACAAGCAACTACACCATAGCTAGATATCTTTGTTCCGACTCGACAGAATCAACTGTACAGCATTGTTCAAGGTGTCATAGCACAATTACAGACGACATCAGCCATTGTTTATAATGTCCCAGCATTGTGATAAACAATTAAAAAATGACATCAGCTGTCGTTTTTGATGTCACACTTTGATTAACAATTAAAAAAAACATCATATATTGTGTATGATGTCTATTTTTTTGTGATGAACAATTCAAAAATGACATCAGCCATTGTTTATGATGTCAAAACATTGTGATCAACAATTCATAATTATGTCATACATCAGGTGCTGAGATCGTATCCTGCGAGAGACCAGGTTGTTATTCAGCCTTGGGACCAACAATGTTGTCACTACCCCTAGTGTATAGTACATTCATTCTGTGCACTCAAAAGAACCAACTCGTCCGACGGCAGATGACCAGATAGTGGAAACACGAATACATACATACACTTGCAACAGGATTATCAAAACATATGGTGTCACCCTGGGCAAGTGACTTAGTTCAAATGTGCCTCTGTTCACCCAGCAGGGAATGGGGACCCGATATGTGAGGTGGATGTAAAAGCCTTCTAGCACCCCTAGGCAGCTTGGGTTGTATTCTCCTAAGGGAGTTGAGAATTATAACTGGAATGCAAACGGATCCACTGGTTGGGAAACAAATAAAACCTCATTTGAGTAGATACTAGTAAGTGGATATGCGGTATATAAATGTATCATATAACAAATAATATTAATCATAATCATGGTACTGCTGCGTTGAAGGGAATGATCAGCTCAGCCAGATGTGCCCTATCTAGGTCACCACTTTTGTAACATGTTTTTCAGTTAGACTCTTGAAACACTTAGAATATATGTGCAAGTGACACTTTAATTTTCCTACCTCGGAAACTTCACACACCTGCTGTATCAATACAGTAAGATTCAAACGTATATCTTGATTAATATATTTGATGTCAAATCCTCCCCAAGACAGTAAACTATGTTCATTATGATCACATTTATAACAAACTAACCGATATAATGAACTTATTTTTTAGTCCCGGCCTTTTGCTGTATATATGCTTTTTACGATCTAAACGTCACGGCATGCACGTTGCTATATAAGTGCAATAATCTTGGACGCGACGTTAAACCCAATTTCACCTCACCTCATTATTAATACATTTCTACAAGTTTATACTTTGTTAGGAAATCCATCTTTGGCTTTTGAATGAGTGAGTCAGTGAATGAGGTTTAATGACACTTTTAGCAATATTCCAGCAATATCCTGGCAGGGGACACCAGAAATTGTACCAATGTGTGGAATTGAACCCATGCAAGCTTTTACCACTTGGCTACCACACCACCACCCCCAGCTTTTGAATAAATAAAAAAGCATATTTTGTGAATGTAACCGGTATGTATTATCATTTGTGTAATTATTCAGTCCCATTGTCCTTTGTTAGAATATCATGTAATGTGCGAACGGTGAGCCAGAATTCTTGTACACCAGATGGTTACTCTCAGCACTAAGCTTTGTTTCCAGGTAGCGGAATCTGGCTGTCCAACTTCAACGGCCTGACAGATAACACCAACTATGTGCCCTTCATCCCCTTCGGTGACCTTGACAAGTTCAGCCCCGTCTACCAGGGATTCATTGTCTTCTGGACCTACATCATCATTTTTCAGGTAATTAGTCCTGTAGAGCACTTGAAATGTTCTTGTTCAGCCATGCCCTTTAAGAACCCTAATGTCTTAGATCACTCTACAGTCCTATCTTCTATAGTTAGAGATTGCCTAGATCTCCCAAGAGCCCTGTCCAGTAGAGTTGGACATGAGAGCTTTGCTGTCCTAGATCTCCCAAGAGCCCTGTCCAGTAGAGTTGGACATGAGAGCTTTGCTGTCCTAGATCTCCCAAGAGCCCTGTACAGTAGTGTTAGACATGAGAGCTTTGCTGTCCTAGATCTCCCAAGAGCCCTGTCCAGTAGAGTTGGACATGAGATCTTTGCTGTCCTAGATCTCCCAAGAGCCCTGTACAGTAGTGTTAGACATGAGAGCTTTGCTGTCCTAGATCTCCCAAGAGCCCTGTCCAGTAGTGTTAGATATGAGAGCCTTACTGCCCTAGATCTCCCAAGAGCCCTGTACAGTAGTGTTAGACATGAGAGCCTTGCTGCCCTAGATCTCCCAAGGGAATTATCCAGTAGAGATACTTTTAAGATTACAGACACAGACACAATTCTCCTGAAGTTACATGTTACCCCTCGTCACATGCCACGTTGGGGACAGCATTCTGAAATGGATCAATGATTAACGATAGAACTCCTGTTACAGACGGTGATCCCACTTCCCATGTACGTCTCCCTGGAGCTGGTGAAGATTGCCCAGGTGTACTTCATCAACAATGACAAGGATGTGTACCATGAACTCTCTAACAAACGCCTGGAGTGTCGAGCCCTGAACATCACCGAGGACCTGGGACAAATAGAGTACATCTTCTCCGACAAGACGGGCACGTTGACGGAGAACCTCATGGAGTTTAAGACTTGCACGATTGGGGGAGTTGACTATCCTCATATGCCAGGTGAGCTTCCTTCTTCCATGGATGTCATCAGGAAATTAATATTACTGTATAGCTTAAAGACACCTATATTCCAAGATATAAGATAGCTACGCTATGAATCACTAAGGACAATGAAGAACGAATCAAATATGCGCTCGCAACTTGATGACGTCATATATTGGACAACGTTTTTTTTGAGAGGGAAGTGTCTTGTAAGTTGTTCACCATAGATGTAGCTGGGCTACGCAGATAAAATGCAGTGGCCGAACGATCGCATCCAAAGGTGGGAGAGATATGACAATCTGTATAAGGTACAGATAATCAATGTGAGGATTGTGAGAATTAGCGGGAAATACAAAAAAAATGGACTTGTCCGACATTTCCAAGGTGGGATTCTATTCAGGGAGTCATCATTATTCAAATTTTGGTAAATATTATTAAAGCTTGTACATTTGATCAACATCTTTAAAGAGGCTTTACATAACGTTGATATCTCATGTAAGAAATAAACAACGAGTGGTTGTTGTTTATCGTACAATAAACAACTCCCACTCGTCGTTTATTTCTTAAATAAAGTTATGACCTGAAATCATCCAAAGACTCAAGGTGAGCTGCAGAACCTGTTGATTCCTTTTGTTAATGTGATCTCTATGTAAGGTGGTAAAATATCTTTTGTTCACATATTTTATTTGAATAATTTCAATGTGATATTTTGTATTGTGTGAAGAGTGCCAGTTTAGGATCACAAGAACACTTGTCAAAAAGCCAGTATAAGAAAATGGTATAAATGGGGATTGGCAGGTGGAGAAATGAAAACATGTGGGTGGGGAATAGTTTAACCAGGGTATTTTGGAAAAAGGGGTTACCTTTTGGGGATTGACATTATATTTTGAAAAAAATGATAATGCAAATTTTGTATTATTTTTTGTGCAGGTGATCAGGAAAGTGACTTTGGCAGCCGGATGTCCATTGCCTCAATGAGCAGAAGCAGCTCGGTGAGTGAAAAAATAGTTTATTATGTAGTGTTAAAATATCCATTACTGAGTGATACAAGGTCTCCAATTAGTTGTTATGTAAAACAATCTACTCATTTTAACGATTGATCTTTGTGGGTGCAGACAGGGAGCTAATTGTATGTACACTGATATCACTAAGGAACTCGAAACACCACATTGATTCTCTGAAAAACAGTTATTTAGCATCCCATGATGAATTTTATGAATGTTTAGGGCTTTGACCACGTGTTTCACATTCATCTAGGCCTAATGAAAATGTCAACAAAAAAACACATCATGGCTTGACAGATTAACTAAAGTATGATGTAAGAATTGTGTGGTAACAAATCCATTTTTGCATCATTGCTTCATTGTCATGGCGACAGAAGTACTTTTTGTGGCTTCAATTGGTGAGCTTCATTAACTTGGTAATATTTTTTAAATAAACCTGTATCAAAACTCTATCAATTCCAATTTATACCATCCATCACATAAAGATATGATTATGAGTACAATTTGAACCGAAAATAATCACAGAGATGCCTGGCATCAACATATTTTTATCTAGCTGAACGATGAACATTGGGCCTGCATTCACCTCTCCAGGGAGTATAGATCCATGCAGAAAATACAATAACAAAAGTTATTGGATTTAGATTAAATGAGTAGAAATCCTTATACATCAAGTTTATTTTTTTAAAGAGTTGGATGGCAAATGCATATAAAGCTAGGGTTTTCAGATTGATTTTGGAGTTGCAATGTGATCAATTTAGCTAAAACTTATTACCCTAAATGTTTCTGTCAGAGCATACACTAGATATTCCAGTCAGACTCAGCAGCCTGCGTGTGATGAATTATTATGTACCGCATCGCTCCACACCTGGTTAGAATATTCAAACATATGCTGAGTTGGCAAATTTGGAGTGGCAGTGAACAAAATCTAACCTGTGTGTTTGTGTTAGGGATCATTGTGTCACACATATCATCCTAAATTATCAAAGCAAAATGATAGAGTTTCGCCTGATCCAGGGTCCTGCATTTGCTGTGACTTATTCATCACTTGATATACTGTATTCGACGTAATAAGAGCCCAGGGCGCTCTCAAAATAAGAAATAGGGGGCTCTTATTAGAACATCATTTTGGTGAGAAAAAAAACCAGAGTTGAAACATAAATTTTGTGGTTTATGCTTACAGCCTGAAATGTTTATGTACGACAGATATATTTTTCCAGAATTTAATTGCCCATTATCAAGGGTGCATATAACACATGAGTACGTATTATACGCGAATAAATAAGTCTTGTGTACATTGATCAATCGGAAGAGGTGCTTATTGGGATTGTTCTCTAGCCAATATATTAGCAAATATTTCCGTGGGCGCTTATAAGAGCGGGGCGCTTATTACGTCGAATACGGTACTCTTAATTATCTTTTCAGTGTATCATATTTGATGCCAAATTTTTTTTATCAGTTAGTACTAGTTCCGCCTACACATCCAAAGTGTTTTCATAATAACAGTTTCAATTAAAGAATTATAATTTTGTTAAAGAAATGTAGAGAGAGAGAGAGAGAGAGAGAGAGAGAGAGAGAGAGAGACTAGGCATGAAAGAACTTCCAAAAGAATTTATTTATTTATTTATTTATTTATTTATTTATTTATTTATTTATTTATTTCACAGCCATGGTGCAGGACTAGGTAGAAAGAGCAGCTTCCAAAAGTTTCAATTGTAATAAGACTCTAACTACAAGAAGGAAATAGATGTCATTGGATGATAACAATGCATCCATGTAACGTCATAGTGAGAATGATTCTATGTCAGGCATGACTTTGTACAACAGTGAGATTGTAAATATTGGCCTCTGTTTAGACCTGTGACAGACAAGAGGTGCATCATTGGTCTAAATCCTACAGTCTAAGAGCTGCCTCCATTTGGGCTTTACTCCCACGTGAAGTTGACATGCCATGATATGACTGACATAGTGTTAGAGTGGCATTAGACCCAACTCACTCACTCACACTAAAGATGTTTTCATGAGTTGATGTGATATGAATGATCTAGCAATTACAGCTCATCAAATATGGGTATGACATTTGAAGATATGGTTAACTTGCTAGAAGATGAAATATGGCTATGGTATTTTGTCATGGCTATAGTATTCTGTGGAGTGTTGCGTCCCTTGGGCACACCAAAAACCAATGATCGTGGGTTCGAATCCCTCTTCGCACAGATTATGTGTCTGGGTCTGCTACCACAATACCCAAGCTTGTCTGTTACAAAGTGGTAACCGCCTTTGTTTAGTGGCTAGACCGTCTACCCGGAGAGCGGAAGCATTAAGGGGCTAAAACAATGACTGGTTGGCTCGGAGTCAGTATACTGTGTCTGAGTGGGGTATTCATGTTATAGTGCAGCATGGTATCTCAGTGAGCTAGCACTATAACTCAGCATTAGTCTAGACTAGTACAAGCAGCAATACACGCTCCGGAAAGCGCACACACACACACACTCACACACATGCATGCAATTATCTTGAACGTGACATTAAACCCCATTTCACCCCTCTTCACCACCTTAAGCAAAGAGGTAAACGTCTAAAACCAGATCTCTTTGGCCTGTGCACCATAAAGCTGACATGTAGCGATATGAATGAAATACTGTTCAATGCGACCTGTGAAGATCCGGGGTAGAATAGGTCTTCAGCAACCCATGCTTGCCATAAAAGGCGACGATGCTTGTCGTAAAAGGCAACTAACGGAATTGGGTGGTCAGGCTCGCTGACTTGGTGGATGCATGTCATTGTATCTCAATTGCATCCTTGTTGATGTCAATCACTGGATTGTCAACAACAACCTATACTGGTCGTCAGTGGCAACCTGAAGTATAAGGTGGTCAGGCTCGCTGACTGAGTTGATCGAATAACCTCGTAACCCAAATGCGTGGATCATTGCTCACACTGTCTAATACTGGATTTTCTGGTCGGGTGTCATATAGCTGGAATATTGCTGAGTGCGGTGTTAAACAACAAACAAACAAACTGTTCAAAGCAGCATAAAACCAACTCACTCACTCATTCCATTTCTAACCTGATCCAGATTTACGAGAACCTTCCACTGGAGCCTGCCCTGCAGAGGGAGCTGTCCAACATGTGCCTGCGGAGCCTGGACAGCGTAGAGCTGACGATCCCAGAGCACGTGAAACGTGTGCAGGAGTTTTTCCTGCTGATGGCCGTGTGCAACACGGTCGTGGTCTCTCATCACCCTCACGAGGACATGGTAAGTGTTACTACAGCATTCACCCAAATGTCGTCCCATATCTGTGGTAATGCTGGTCGGTCGGGAAGCCTAGTGGTTAAAGCGTTCGCTCGTCACGCCGAAGACCTGGGTTCCATTCCTGACATGGGTACAATGTGTGAAGCCCATTTCTGGTGTCCCCTGACGTGATATTTCTGGAATATTGCTAAAAGTAGAGTAAATCCAAACTCACTCAATGTAGTAATTCTGTATTTCACCTGTGGGTGAGAAACCCTCCTGGTATCAAACGTGTGAGATCAATTATCAAACGTGTGAGATCAATTAGCTACTCCTTGGTGATGACTTGAGGTCAGATTATGATGGGTTACTTTTCTGATACAGGGTTTTGTACTGGCTTGAAAAAGCCTTGAATTTTAAGGTCCCTCTTGAAAAGCCTTGATTTTTATTGTCAACCTTGAAAAGCCTTGAAAAGCCTTGAAAATCACCAGAAAAGCTTTAAAAGCCTTGAAAAGTCTCGAACTTGTACAAACTTACTATGCTTATTCATCAACAAGTCATCAACACACAAAGATGTTTTAGTGAGATTAATCACTGTGATAAATGTGTGTGCCAAGACCCTGAGGAATTCATGACCGACTTTATTTATGTTTTTGTTGCGTGAAAAAACTAAATATTGTTTGAAAATGTATGATGATTAAACTGCTTTTTACGTCTTACGACTAATATATAGTATTCTGGACTTAACAAAATATTGACAGACTAAGGCCAATGCCATGGCAGTTAAAAAAGACTTGAAATTGACAGTTTGCAGCCTTGAAATAGGCCTTGAATTTTAGTGTTCCATCTTTGTATGAACCTTGTAGATAGTAATTATACCCCTGTTTACGAAGTAAATTGGGGGTATATAGCGTTCCATCTGTCCGTCCTTCCGTCCATCCATCCGTCAGTCTGTCCCACAGAGGGTACTAAGCTTGTGAAATCAACTCCTCCTACAGTTTCCAGAGAATATCCCTGAAACTCTACACACAAGATGTCGACATGTTGATGATACGCATATCGCTCTCCAGTTTCATTTTGACTAATTTTGACAGAGTTACTGCCCCTGTTTTACGGAGCTTCATTTGCCTAATTGTGAGAGAGGTACTAAGCTTGTGAAATCAACTCCTCCTCCAGCTTTTAGAGAATATCCCTGACACTCTACACACAAGATGTCGACATGTTGATGATACGCATATCACAGTCCCGTTTCATTTCGACTAATTTTGACAGAGTTACTGCCCCTGTTTTACGGAGTTTCATGAAATCTACTCCTCCTCCAGTTTCCAGAGAATATCACAATATCTAACTATAACTATAACTATAGTTAGTTTCCTTGTTTAAGGCTTTTGTGGGTGAGCTACATCCTTATGGCATCAGCATTCAGACTGGATTACTCCCAACAAAATGTTCTGCACAATCTGTTTCAAATGCAGTGCCATCTACTGTTGTTATTTCATAGAATACAAAGAAAATATAAACTCGTTAAAAAAATTCATGCGGGGGGTGTTGTGCTCTCAGAGCACTCTTGTTCCAGTTCCTGACCAATGTGCATGTTGTTTCTTCAGATGGATGAGAGCGGTTTTCTCAGTCAACCCGAGTTCCTAAAGCAGGCGTCACAATCCAGGGAGGAGGGTCTCGACCGTTACAACCGTCTCCCCGAGGCAGCCACACCCCCTAGGTCCAACAAGGCGCGGGGAGCGTCACTGGCATCACTCAACAGCGAATCCGACTACCAGTTCACGTCGTCTGACGGCAGCATAGCGGGGTCATCCTCGCAGATGTCGGACAGTTCGTTGCGGACTCGCTACGAGGCAGAGAGTCCAGATGAACTTGCTTTAGTCAAGGCAGCTAGTACATACGGTTGCCGGTTGATACGGCGGTCTCCGGAGAAAGTTACCGTGTGGTTACCAGGTATGTCCAGCACTGGCCGATTGCACAACTTCGGTCAACTCAGTCTTTTGTTAACGGTTTAAATATTTGAGTGTCCTGGCGTGGACTTGTCTGAATTTTTTTCAATAGAGTTTATGGTGACCCTTGTTATCAAAGCTGGCTAGACTGATAGACATTTGATCAGATTTGAGCTTTGTAATATGTCAGTGACAGACTGGGTATTGTCAGGGGCATGTAATAAAATATATTGAGGTGAATGTATCCTATGTACTTGCATATTTGATTTCATTGTGTGGAATATTGTGTTATATTGTTGCTATTTCAACATTAAGCTGCAAACTGTCTTTGCATTATGTGATGTATGGGGTGAGGTAGCTTAGTGGGTGAAGCATTTGCTAACATGTCATGTGTGGTACCTTGATATATAGTGGAACACACACACTCAATCAACCACCCACCAAAGCACTAACTCATTCACTCGCTCACCTACAACACTCACCCCAAGCCAACCAACCCACTCACTCACTCACTCACTCAGCCCCTCACTCACTCACTCACTCACTCACCAAACCACACACACACTCACTCACTCACTCACTCACTCACCCAAAAAACAACCCACCCAACCAACCCACCCAACCACACACACAACCACACACACACTCACTCACTCAGCCCCTCACTCAACCACTCACTCACTCACTCACTCACTCACTCACTCACTCACTCACTCACTCACTCACTCACTCACTCCGCCCCTCACTCACTCACTCACTCACTCAATCAGCCCCTCACTCACTCACCCCCTCACTCACTCACTCACTCACCCAAAACCAACCCACCCAACCACACACTCACTCAATCACTCCCTCCGTGGTATAATCTGACAACAAGTTACCTGTTGTATATGGTCTTGTCTCCAGGGGATGGTGAAGTGGAGTTCGAGGTGCTCAACATTCTTCACTTCGACTCGGTCCGCAAGCGCATGTCTGTGATCATCAAACACCCAGAAACAGAGGAGATAACTCTGTATGTCAAGGGAGCCGACTCCTCTGTCCTCAGTGTACTTGACAGAAGATTCAAAAGTAAGACATTCTTGACAAAAAGGAAAAAATAATACTCTGTTAAACATGTTAAAGGTAGACTATAGTCTGGTGGCTTTTTCCAGCCTAGGTCTGAACTGAGTAAGTAGGCTACAGTCACTTAATTAGGGTAACCATCAACTGCTGGATTGCAAACATCACTTTGGAAACGTAATTCCGTGATATCCTTGCATGACATGTGCCAATATTGCATTGATAATAACAAAAATGATCATACCTCCATGTCAGAAAGAGGAGATCCGATTGGTCCATGTGATCTGGATAAAATACGATGTAACCTGCCTTGGAGGAGAATAAATTTCTCAGCGGGTGAATAAAACCCTTTTGTCCCTGCCACGAGCAAGGCAGGCTGCACGTGGATTTCTGAGAGGCAGAATAAATCCCTTATACCCCGCTTCCAAGCAAAAAGCTGCAAGCTTTTTCAGAATCAATGAAAGTCACGTGACATAGCACAAGATAACCGCCGCTCATTTGAACAGCTGTTTTCTATCAATTTTGAATTTGTTTAAGTTCTTTTAAAATATCATACTAAAAATTTCGGTAAGATAAATTGCATGCAATTGCTAAATTGTAATGAGATATTATAAGTTGTAGCAGGATCACTCGTGGTAAATGGAATTTTACGCATCCCTCGTTAGGTTTTATACCACTCGCCTCCATGCGTCCCTCATTAGGTACAACACCTAACGCGGAATGCATAAGACCCCATCAACCCCTCGTGATCCTCCGACAAGTGGTATAAAACTTACAAGGGACACATTAAACCCCATGTACCCCCGAGTGATCCTGCCACAACTTATGATATCTCATTACATTTTAGCGATTGTGATCTACATCATGCATGTCCAGGGATTATCTAGACCTGCTCAGAGCCTGATATTCAACCTGAAGTGAAAAGCAAATATAAGTAAATATTTGCAAATTTGACTTTAAAACTTCCCAATTCATGTTTATGATTATGATTACAGTAAACTACGGTTATGACTAACTCAAAGGAACCTCTAATTTTAGTTCGTTATAACCATTGTTCGTTATAAGTATATATACAGCATACATAGAGCAAATGCCTGGGACCAAACCAAACAGTTTGTTATATCCGCAAGTTCGTTATGAGCGTGTTCATTATAAACGTAGTTTACTGTATAACTAATGCTATGATTTTGTAGAGGTGAATTGTATTACGCTAAAAGGACTCAGAGGAAGACACTTTAATGCTTAGCCACCAATCTATTGCTAAAATATTGCTGAGTGGGCGTTAAACAACAAACAAACAATATGAATCATATTTATTATTTTCTAATGATGTTATGTTCACTCTGCCAGCGAATGACGGGGAAGAGAAGGCCGTGCGGATGAAGACGGAGGAGCACATCACGGAGTACGCCATGAAGGGACTCCGGACACTCTGCATGGCAAAACGGGTACTTACAGAATGGCATATGTCCTCCATTTTGACTGTCCTAGAAGTGGTCACATGACATGTAGAGAAATGAAATTTTAAGCTTTGGTCTGGCTTATATCTCAGTGACTTCCGTACATATTGTTTTTCTGTTCGAAAAAAGGGTGCTTGATGCAATAAAATGTTTGTTGACAAATTGACTTTCACTTTGTATGAGTTCATTGGAGTATGGAGGTTCATGCTCCAATGAACTCACACAAAGTGAAAGTCAATTCTTATAATTTTTTATCACAATTTCTTACCTCAAAGGATGTAGGCCTAGATCTATACACAATTTTATTTAGTACGTGTGACTTCATGTTTACACTGACAGCCATACAACAACCAGCTGTATCGCAGAATATAATAGTTCCTCAAAAAGAGGTGTGTATGTATGCACATCTTGCTCTTAAAAAACATGTTAAGCAACACATGTATTCAAATAATATCCCCATTAGAGTGGATCTGTTCAGAACTACATGTACTTCAGTAAGTCAGTCACAATGACAGCGCGTCGTCATCAAGGACAAGATGTCAAAATGGCCGACACTATTAACGTGACAGGAAAGATTTCTGAAGTTGTTAATGAAACTGTGACGGTTACATGTTTTAGTCATCATTGATCAATTGGCCGATCATTGAAAGGTGATTAAACATGTGTCAAATAAACACTAAGGTACCCGGTAAATTCATAGATTGCTGTAGACTGTCACTGTCAGCCTAGATATGAATCGAGTCAATACTACTATAGTTTGGATGTGAACTTAGAGGTCAGGTGACCGACCTCTTGTCCAATTAAAAAGCTGTATATCGTGTAAACTTCAAATTAAAAAATAATATTTGTATAAAAGCTTCTATTAATAGACATTCTTATAATGGCTATTTTCTTCAGTAATTTATTTTTTCATAGATGTTCTTATCAAAGTTATGAGTTTGTTGTCAAAATAAAAATAAACTAGCTAAACCAGATCTATTTAAAGGGATATTCTTTAAAACTATGGTTGTTAGGATGAAATATATAATGAGTTATTGCCTGTCTCATGTCATAGCCTAGTGGTTAAAGCGTTTGCTCGTCACGCCGAAGACCCGGTTTCTATTCCCGACATGGGTACAATGTGTGAAGCCCATTTCTGGTGTCCCCCGCCGTGATATTGCTGGAATATTGCTAAAAGCGGCGTAAAACCATACTCACTCACTCACTCAACCTTCAATAAACCCTTCAATCATCTAAGTGGAAATTTCGTAATTTTGAATTGGTGATTTGCTTATATGTCATTAATTTGTCGAGAGCTGAAAAGGGACAAGCCATTCTTGTATTACATTAGCCCAGGACATTTCTATATTTAACTGTTCATATTACTAAGTATTATCTGTGGCAGACATTAAGTCCAGAAGTGTACAAAGAATGGCAGAAGATGCATCAGGAGGCGGAGGCAGCCCTTGAGAACCGGGAGACACAGATAATAGACTCTGCATGTCGGATAGAGGAGGAACTAGATCTCCTGGGTGAGTCAGCCTCAGACATCTTTCCATGAACAAAATATACCTCAGAGGATTAGATCTGTTGTGGCTCTGGCGGCTGGGGACCGCCTTCGTGGTCTAGTGGTAGAGCGTCCGCCTGTAGAGCGGACGGTCCGGGTATCGATCCCCAGCTGCGTCATACCAAAAGACGTTAAAAGATGGTACTTGTTGTTACCCTGTCTGGCGCTCGGCACTAAGGGGCTAAAACAAGGACTGGTCGGCTCGGAGTCAGTATACTGTGTCTGAGTGGGGTATTCATGTTAAACTGCGGCATGGTATCTCAGTGTGCCAGCACTATAAATCGGCATCAGTCCGGACTAGTACAAGCATCCACACACACACACATACAGGTGCATGCATGTCGCTATATAAGTGCAATAATCTTGGATGTGATGTTAAACCCCATTTCACCTCACCTCACCTCTGGCGACTGGGTGTGAAGCAACCCATGCTTGTCATAAGAGGCGACTATGCTTGTCATAAGAGGCGACTATGCTTGTCACAAGAGACGACTATGCTTGTCGTAAGAGGCAACTATGCTTGTCATAAGAGGCAACTATGCTTGTAAGAGGCGACTATGCTTGTCATAAGAGGCGACTATGCTTGTCATAAGAGGCGACTATGCTTGTCACAAGAGACGACTATGCTTGTCGTAAGAGGCAACTATGCTTGTCATAAGAGGCAACTATGCTTGTAAGAGGCGACTATGCTTGTCATAAGAGGCGACTATGCTTGTTGTAAGAGGCAAGTAACAGCATCTGGTGGTCAGGCTCGCTGACTTGGTTGATGTTTGTCATCGTATCCCAATTGCATGGATGGATGCTCATGATGTCAATCACTGGATTATCTGGTCCCGACTCGATTATTTACAGACAGCCTACACATGACTGGAATATTGCAGAGTGCTGTGATAATGATAAAACAAAGAAACACATTATGTAGGTAGGGCATAAGCTTCATGGACCGGAGTAGTTCATGTCAAGTGAACAAAGGGAAATAACTCCTGGTGTTTTATCGGTCCAGGTGCGACTGGTATTGAGGATCGACTCCAGGATGGTGTGCCAGAGACAATAGCTAAACTACGGCAGGCTGGAATCAACATTTGGGTGTTGACAGGAGACAAGCAGGTTTGACATTTTCCTAAGGTCAGGGAGCAGTTATTTTCAGAGTTTGAGACATACACCAAACTCTGCAGTAAACCAAACATATTGCCTTCCTCAAAGAAATGATTTCATTGAGAAAAGCGCATAGCTTTGCACAAGTTGTATAAACGCATTGCAGATCAATTCTTGTAGCATTTACCTTCTGTAGAGATGTTGTTTGTTTTCAGAGTACAAATATAATAACTAGAGCTGTAATTTGAACTTGAAAAAATTAAAAGTTGATTTTGTGCAATGGAAGACTTAGAGATCTGTTAAATCACCTGCCCCTTACTGAAAGAATTAAGGTTTGTATCCAGCTTCCAACTGTTCAACTGCTTCTGGTGTACTTAGCTAGGGGTTTCTACCTCGCAGCCAGGAATAGCCAGGAATAATAAAAAAATGTGGACAACTATGATGGAATGTTATCCTTACAAAAACTTCACAAATGAATTTAGCAATCTTTTGTGTAGACACATGGTACTAAAATGTGTGCTTGATTAAATTGTTTGTTTTGCGAGATGCAGTCAATCAAGATGTTATAATGGTAATGTTTTCCAAAAGGGAAGTCCATTTCAAAGTGTGTAGGCCATGTGTTAAGTTTGTTTGGGTGTCATTTTCAGTATTTGTGAGGTATTACATGTTGATGTTTATGGCTGAGCCCACTTGGGGAGTGTCCATTTGATTTCTGTTGGGGGAATTGGAAGATTTTTTTAAATGAATAGTTTGTTCACAACTATTCCCAAAATGAAAAGGTTTTTGTTGCAGTGAAGAAAATGAATTGTTTCTTATAAAAAATAACCAAATGTCAATTTGTTTGTATTAATGGTAAAAACTAAGAGATTGTTTGATGGTGCTCAGTAAATAAATAGTTTTGTTAGATACGGCTTGGAAAAAAAGTAGATTGTTCTCAAAAGTAATCCCCAACCACCCCATACAAATCAAATTGATGATTCTTTAGATCACAAGCAATTTTACACAACTTAAACTTCAGACAAGCCTAAAACTAGCTTCAGATTAGCTTCTGAATTGTGTGGCTGGCTGGATCATGAATTGCGTGGCTGGCTTGATCGTGAACTGCGTGGCTGGCTTGATCGTGAACTGTGTGGCTGGCTTGATCGTGAACTGTGTGGCTGGCTTGATCGTGAACTGTGTGGCTGGCTTGATCGTGAACTGCGTGGCTGGCTTGATCGTGAACTGTGTGGCTGGCTTGATCGTGAACTGTGTGGCTGGCTTGATCGTGAACTGCGTGGCTGGCTTGATCGTGAACTGTGTGGCTGGCTTGATCGTGAACTGCGTGGCTGGCTTGATCGTGAACTGCGTGGCTGGCTTGATCGTGAACTGCGTGGCTGGCTTGATCGTGAACTGCGTGGCTGGCTTGATCGTGAACTGTGTGGCTGGCTTGATCGTGAACTGCGTGGCTGGCTTGATCGTGAACTGCGTGGCTGGCTTGATCGTGAACTGCGTGGCTGGCTTGATCGTGAACTGCGTGGCTGGCTTGATCGTGAACTGTGTGGCTGGCTTGATCGTGAACTGCGTGGCTGGCTTGATCGTGAACTGTGTGTTGTTCTGTAAGAATCAGTAAATGTATAAGTTTATCTCATATTCCTCTGCATTTTTACAGGAGACGGCTATTGAGATTGCCTATGCCAGCAAATTGTTTCACAAGGAACAGGAACTAGTCACCCTCAACAGCAATACAAAGGTGAGTTTCAGACATGTCCCATTTTAGGGGTTAGGGGTGCATGCATTGGCTAATGTCTGAAGTGCAGCAAATTGTTGTGTTGTCTCCCTTTGCTGTGGCAGGTTCCGCTGGAACTTTGTCAGGTGGTCATCATGCAAAAATTTCAAAATAGAAGCAGCCTGCTGTGTAATAAACATTCAAATTATTTATGGTTTATGGTTGGTCTGTCAGCACCATGGCTGATGTCATAGGTTTCACAAAGCAGGTTATTCTCTTGGGCACAGGGGCGGTCGGGTAGCCTAGTGGTTAAAGCGTTTGCTCGTCACGCCGAGGACCCGGGTTCGATTCCCGACATGGGTACAATGTGTGAAGCCCATTTCTGGTGTCCCCCGCCGTGATATTGCTGGAATATTGCTAAAAGCGGCGTAAAACCTCACTCACTCACTCACTCACTCACTCTTGGGCACAGGTAACACAGTCCTCTAAATTAGTAGAATAAATATCACCTAGCTGGAGGATTACGCTCGTCTTGAGAAGCCCTGATTATCCTAGGTCTGTCAGCACCATGGCTGATGTCATGGGTTTTACAAATCAGGTTATTTCTTTGGCTTTTATCACTAAGAGATTCTGAAACTGAAATACTGTTTCAAGTGCAAGTCCAGCTTATTCAGCTCACACACACACACGTCGCTGTATTCTCCTGTTCATCTGATGTAATGTTTCTGTGTTACAGGAGGAAGCGAAAGACTTGATCGTCCATCATATCGAACAGATCAACCTGAATCGGCCATCACCAACCCGGAACGGCGAAGCACCCAAGGAGAAGGAGTACGCCTTGATCATCGATGGAAAGACACTAGCCTTTGCTTTACATGACAGTGCTTCCAAGAAGGGTTTTCTGAATCTCACCAAGAAGTGCAACTCTGTCGTCTGTTGCCGAGCAACGCCTTTACAAAAGGTTGAAATTGTGATGCCATGTTCTGGTTATCTCCCCCTATCTCCAACATCATGCCATGAATTAATAAGGGGCAGTGGGGTAGCCTAGTGGTTAAAGCGTTCACTCGTCACGCTGAAGACCTGGGTTCGATTCCCCACATGGGTACAATGTGTGACGCCCATTTTTGGTGTCCCCCGCCATGATGTTGCTGGAATATTGCTGAAAGCGGCGTAAAACCAAACTCACCCACCATGAATTAATTATACCCCCAACAAGATGTCGGGGGTATATAGTTATACCAAGGCTCCGTCTGTCCGTCCGTCCGAAAACTTTGTCCGTGCGATTTCTCTTCAACTATTCAGTGGATTCATCTCAAACTTAGTACATATAATCTGTGTCATATGGAGGGGTGCAGTCAAAAGAAAAAAAATTGTTTTTATTAATTTTCCATTTTTTCATGAATTTTTCCAACCCTAACGTCCGTCTGAAAACTTTGTCCGTGTGATTTCTCTTTAACTATTCAGTGGATTCATCTCAAACTTAGTACATATAATCTGTGTCATATGAACGGGTGCAGTCAAAAGAAAAAAAATGTTTTTATTAATTTTCCATTTTTTAATGAATTTTTCAAACCCTAATGTCTGTCCGAAAACTCTCAGATATTGGAGTCTAGAGGGAACCCTTCCTAACCCTATCCTAGCTATTTGATTTGTAACTACTGACACACTAGGCGGGTCGGGGGTATTAGTAAGCCATGCTCACTTTTGCACTTGTTATCTAAGTGTGTTTGTGTATATTTGACAGACTTCAATAGTGCACTTTTATAAATTCACTACGTTTAATGATGGTATATGATGTTTGAACCCCGTGGAGATTCCAGGTTAGAATAGGTCAACAACAACCTATACTGGTCGTCAGTGGCAACCTGAAGTATCAGGTGGTCAGGCTCGCTGACTGAGTAGATTGAATGTCCTCGTAACCCAAAGGCGTGGATCATTGCTCACAGTGTCCATCACTGGATTGTCTGTCCCAGACCCGTTTATTTACAGGTCGGGCGTCATATAGCTGGAGTGTGGCGTTAAACAACAAACAAACAAATAATGATGTTTAATAGTCTTCAGCTATTCAGGAACACGTGGTATTAACAAAATTCTTAGTAACTGTCTGAAATACATTTATCCCAAAATCACATCGTTCCTTTTTAGATTAGTTCAATTAAATCTTTAATTTATAACCATTAGTACTTTGTATCTATGTTCAATATTCTGTTATTCTTCGTTTATAAATATCCAATGGTTTAAATGATTTTGGATTTAAAAAATGCAACAGCTTTAAAGTTTTGTCGTCAGTTGGCAATTTTTCCTTCTTGAATGCAGTGTGTCTGGTATTATAAAGATGTTGATGAAGTTGTTATCCTGTGATGCACGATCTGATCCCTGTCTCTGGTGATTTCAGGGACATGTTGTCAAGCTTGTGAAAGAAGAGTTGAAGAAGCTAACATTAGCCATCGGTATGTTCACCCAGACTCAGATGAGAATTGTCTGCCCAATTCTGAAGATTTCCATGGATTTCGTTACATTTAGGGTCACTTTTGTGACATATAGCCCCCAGTCCACTGGCTAGCTTGCATTGTTTTTTTAAAAAAACCATTCTCATCCCTGTTAGTATGTATTCATTGTCATCATTATTGCCTTGTAAACTTTATATTAGAAATTAATATTACATATGAAATATTTTGAAATTTCATCTTTATTGACTTTATTTCGTTTTTAAAAGTATCTAGGTATTTTATTGAGGTCGATAAGTGTATAAACATTTCTACCAATTGTCTGATGTTAAATATCCCGGAATGGATGATGACGCTCCCTTTACAGTTATCTCCCTTTGTCCAGCTGCAGTGCCATGCACTGTGAGCCTTTCATCAAGACTTATAGTCTGTTAGTCAAATTTCATCCATGTTATCAGTGTTCCCTTTTGGTTTTGAAACTGCAGGTCCTGGTGGACTGGCAATGCTAAAAATTGCTCGTCTCTCTGAAGTAACTTAATAACATCTACACGTCATTCACACAAAGTTCAGTCACAATTTTCTAGGTTTTTTTAGTATTTTGAGACCAAGTCACTACAGATATTTATTTAACATCAAAGCAAAGCAAAATGTTATTTCCTTGCATATTAAATAGACAACAGGAAACCCTGATGGTAACAGACAAACTGACTTTTTTCGAAAAATATACTTATCAGTATATCACCAATGTTTTGTTCAACAACAAAGATCTATAAGGTACTTTATTTGCCAGTCCACAGTCACATGAATTACCGGTCCAAGCCTAATTTTACTGGTAAAAAACTGGTAATTACTGGTAAATGGGAACACTGGTTATGGGATATTCTTAATAACTGTATCATGTATAACTATCATCATTTAGGGGCGGTCGGGTAGCCTAGTGGTTAAAGCGTTCGCTCGTCACGCCGAAGACCCGGGTTCGATTCCCGACATGGGTACAATATGTGAAGCCCATTTCTGGTGTCCCCCGCCGTGATATTGCTGGAATATTGCAAAAAAGCGGCGTAAAACCATACTCACTCACTCACTCACTATCATCATTTGAAAAATATATGGGATTCATGGACAAGTATGTGGGTTTTGGTAAGCATTTTGGCTTGGTAATAAAATGTGAAATCTTCATGGAATTGATTACAAATATTTAAATAGGCCACAAAATTAACATACAGTTAAAGTAATGAGTAAGAATCTGGCAAAATATGTTATTCGTGTGACATGGCATATTCCATATTCTTTAAAGAACTTTGTCCACTTTGACAGTAGAGTAAGGTCCATGTGTCAGTTGAAGGGTGCACAGGATTTTGTGGTCTGAATGGACTTGTAGACAACACACAAGTTGGAGGTTTTATACACACATTCAGCTCATTACATTCTGTACATTCCACTGTGGACACATACTCCTAGTGATAACGACCCGTGAAGACCCGGGGTTGGATAGGTCTTCAGCAACCCATGCTTGATGTAAATGGCGACTATGTGTGTCGTAAGAGGCGACTAACGGGAGCTTGCGACGACGTTCATACAATGTTTGGCCCTCACTCTATGAAGGTTCATACTCCAATGAAATCACACAAAGTGAAAGTCAATTCTTATAATTTTTTTATCACAATTTCTTACCTCAAAGGATGTAGGCCAAGATCTAAACACAATTTTATTTAGTACGTGTGACTTCATGTTTACACTGACAGCCATACAACAACCAGCTATATCGCGGAGTAATATAGTTCCTCAAAAAGAGAGGTGACATGGGCGTATGGAGGCACAATTTGCTCTTCAGAAACATCTTACGCAGCACTTGTGTTCAAATCATATCCTCATTAGATGAAAAAGGTCTGTAAAGAACTACCTGAGTAAGTCAGTCACAATGACAGCGTGTCGTAATATATTTACATCAAGTACAAGATGTCATAATGGCCGACACGATAAACGTGACGGGAGAGAATTCCGAAGTTGTTAATGAACCTGTGGTGGTTACATGTGTTAGTCATCATTGATCAACTGGCCGATCATTGAAAGGTGAATAAAGATGCGTCAAACAGACACCAAGGTAAATTCATAGATTGCTGGAGACGGTCAATGTCAGCCTAGGCACGGATCGAGTCCATACAACGATAGTTTAGATGTGCATTTCATCGTTTGTTCATTAGGATAGGCCGCAGCGAGGATATTCGTGAACAATCATGCAGTCACGCTCTCTGACATTTCTCAATGTATACTGAAATGCTGAGACCAAGAATAAAGGTTCTAAATGATCAGAAAGAACGCTTATGTATGTTTTCGTGCTAGGGAATTCCTAGGGGTTTCCCGAGGAATGTGGAAGTAGTCCGTCAGTGTTTACGTCATTTCAAGAACAGGGTCTCGTGAAAAACGTATGAACGTCAAATTGTGTCGTTCATACACTTATGAACGTCAATTTCGCGATCATGTGACCAACCTCTCGTCCAATGGAAAAGCTGTATATCGTGTAAACTTCAAATTAAAAAATTATAAGCATATGTACAACATATATACAGCAAATGAACAGGTCTTAGAAATAGTTTGTTATATACGTCAGTTTGTTGTAAGCGTGTTCATTATAAATGTAGTTTACTGTAGTCTATATTCCAGTCCTTGGTTTTGCTAATCACATGAACAGGACACGGTATCCTAACATGGCCTCCACTCTTATAGCAGATATTGCAACCATTCTGCATTTCACCTGACCCCAAGTTTCTATTAGCAACAAGCTTCAAATTGAGGGATGTAGACTTCGTATACTTATGGATATGTCACTATATAGGTATACTTTACCATGACAGAAGCCATTTTGTTCTTGAGCTTGGCCTTTGTACTGTGATTCCTGAATGGAGGGGACGATTCAGTTTTCCTTGTCTCTTTGTAGGTGATGGAGCCAATGATGTGAGCATGATCCAGACAGCTGATATTGGTATCGGAATCTCAGGTCAGGAGGGCATGCAAGCCGTCATGTCCTCGGACTTTGCCATTGCAAGGTTCAAGTACCTCGAGAGGCTGCTTCTTGTCCATGGTCATTGGTGCTACGACAGACTGAGTAAATTTGGAGCCTTCATGTTCTACAAAAGTTTGGTAAGTTAGATTTAAATAAAGTAATTTCTTGACATCATTTTGACAAAATAATGAATGGTCCCTTAGATGAGAAACAGGAAGTGGATAGCTAGACAACAGAAGGTGAAACTCAAAGACGTATATATACAAATCTCTATACATCTTTGGTGAAACAAATATTACATCTTTTTTAAGGAGGGTCATGATAAAAGGAGAGAGTATTTATATGTTGAAAATACAATGTATGTATTCTGATGATTCATGGTAAACTTTAACAAATTTGTGTCTTGGCGAAGGTCATGGGGAAAAGGGCAAGCGCTGGAAAGTTGCTCATGGCTCCTGGATGAACAATCTGTCACCCTCCCCGGATAATGAAATAAACCATTTCTCTGTATCAGCACCTGTGTGAGGTTTTTTGGTTAGAATTAATATTGGACCCTAGCAACCTATGCTGGTCAAAACAGGCAACTTATTGGATGGGGTGGTCTTATTTGTTTGATTGCATACCCTGACAGTGTGGATCATTACTTGGGTCATTCAACTGAATATTTTGTCTACTCTGTTATTTAATCATGTATGGCTGCTTGGATGAGTCTATTTTGTAACTGAAGGGGTCAACTTGATGTAACATAAATCACAGGTGCATAAAGTTGTTTTCATAAAACTGAAGGGGAAAGTAGATGCTGTCACATCAGTCAGTAGGTGGTCTCATCCAGACTTGATTATAGCTGGATTTATTGCTGCGTGTGACGTTAAACAACAAACTGACAAATTTGTGACCTTGGGGGAGGTTATGATGAAAACGGCAAGCAGTCAAGGAGAGTCGACCACCAAAATACAGTAAACTACAGTTATAACGAACTCGAGGGGACCACTAATTTTAGTTCGTAATAACCGTAGTTCATTATCAGCATACATACTAAAAACTCATCAGGACTAAAAACTAAGTTCGTTATATCCATAGGTTCATTATAAGCGTGTTCGTTATAAACATAGTTTACTGTAAATACGTTTGGAGAGATTCTTTTATTTTTGTTCTCGGGGCGGTTGGGTAGCCTAGTGGTTAAAGCGTTCGCTCGTCACGCTGAAGACCCGGGTTTGATTCCCGACATGGGTACAATGTGTGAAGCCCATTTCTGGTGTCCCCCACTGTGATATTGCTGGAATATTGCTAAAAGTGGCGTAAAACCATACTCACTCACTATTTTTGTTCTCTCACGGATGAACAATCGCATACCCTCCCAGAGTATCAAATGAATATCCTTGTATCAGTACCACCTGTGTTTCATTGAGGTCCTCCTGTTGCAGATGTCGGTGATGCTGCTGTTCTGGTACCAGTTCTTCAGTGGTTTCTCCGGCTCGCTGATGCTTGACAGTATCTACATGATGCTGCTCCACCTCATCTTCACATCACTTCCTCCCATCGTCAACGGCATCTTTGACAAGGACGTGTCGGCCGAAGTGCTGCTGGAGAAGCCTGAACTTTACAGTGTTGGCCAGAAGGGGGAGGTCAGTATCGAAAGCGCAGGATAGGGGTGTATCTAGACCTGCTTGTGACAGAAGGGGGAGGTCAGTATCGAAAGCGCAGGATCGGGGTGTATCTAGATCTGCTTGTGACAGAAGGGGGAGGTCAGTATCGAAAGCACAGGATCGGGGTGTATCTAGATCTGCTTGTGACAGAAGGGGGAGGTCAGTATCGAAAGCGCAGGATCGGGGTGTATCTAGATCTGCTTGTGACAGAAGGGGGAGGTCAGTATCGAAAGTGCAGGATCGGGGTGTATCTAGATCTGCTTGTGACAGAAGGGGGAGGTCAGTATCGAAAGCGCAGGATCGGGGTGTATCTAGATCTGCTTGTGACAGAAGCGGGAGGTCAGTATCGAAAGCGCAGGATCGGGCTGTATCTAGATCTGCTTGTGACAGAAGGGGGAGGTCAGTATTGAAAGCGCAGGATCGGGGCATATCTAGATCTGCTTGTGACAGAAGGGGGAGGTCAGTATCGGATAGCGCAGGATCGGGGCGTATCTAGACCTGCTTGTGACAGAAGGGGGAGGTCAGTATCGAAAGCGCAGGATCGGGGCATATCTAGATCTGCTTGTGACAGAAGGGGGAGGTCAGTATCGAAAGTGCAGGATCGGGGTGTATCTAGATCTGCTTGTGACAGAAGGGGGAGGTCAGTATCGAAAGCGCAGGATCGGGGTGTATCTAGATCTGCTTGTGACAGAAGGGGGAGGTCAGTATCGAAAGTGCAGGATCGGGGTGTATCTAGATCTGCTTGTGACAGAAGGGGGAGGTCAGTATCGAAAGTGCAGGATCGGGGTGTATCTAGATCTGCTTGTGACAGAAGGGGGAGGTCAGTATCGAAAGTGCAGGATCGGGCTGTATCTAGATCTGCTTGTGACAGAAGGGGGAGGTCAGTATTGAAAGCGCAGGATCGGGGCATATCTAGATCTGCTTGTGACAGAAGGGGGGGGTCAGTATCGAAAGCGCAGGATAGGGGTGTATCTAGACCTGCTTGTGACAGAAGGGGGAGGTCAGTATCGAAAGCGCAGGATCGGGGCATATCTAGATCTGCTTGTGACAGAAGGGGGAGGTCAGTATCAGATATCGCAGGATCGGGGCGTATCTAAACCTGCTTGTGACAGAAGGGGGAGGTCAGTATTGGATAGCGCAGGATCGGGGCTTATCTAGATCTGCTTGTGACAGAAGGGGGAGGTCAGTATTGGATAGCGCAGGATCGGGGCTTATCTAGACCTGCTTGTGACAGTCTTCCAAGGAGCCGCAATACGCTTTGCAGAGTAGCGTCCCTTGGACATGCCAGAAACCTATTATCATGGATTCGAATCCTGGTTCTCCCTGATCTTGTTTCTAAGTTTGTCAGCACCATACCTGTGCTCGTGGATATCACCAAAGTGCTAAACACCTAAGACCTGCATCACTTCGGCCTTTCCTCACAAATTAACCTTTAGCCTCTGAATTGTTTTCACACTTCTTTCCCATTCCCTTCTCGATAAATTTTAGCATAAGTCGCTGAAGAGGTTGGGTGATTTCACACAGTTGGTCTTTCATTAAACATTGGGCAATTGAAGAAATATGTTGTGCATTTATTCCTGACATAAATATATAAAAAAATCATGAAATTTTCAATCAGAGGTTAAGAGCAAAGCAAACATAAAATTTGTAAATTTTCTTGATTGTACCTCAATTAGGTGATTGAATGTGGAATGCGTTTCATATTAGGAACCTGTATAAATGGTTGTATATTTGTTCAAACTGATTCTAATAATCATATCTCCTATTATCTCCTATATCTTAAATTTAACTGAGCTTAAATTCACATTTTTTTTTATTGGCAAACAACAGTGTTTTGATGTATATATTTGATACACAAATATACAATCCTTATATTATGAAATCACAAGATGTATCGCATATTCAATTTGTAATTAGGCAATTTTCCATGCCTTCTGGTCTTCTCTACATGTGTTATTTAGAGACTCTGTATAGCTATGATATCTGATCTGTCCATGCTACTAACATGCCAATAATGTCACAATAAATCCATACACTCTCTATGTATGATATTGAAATGTAAAATATGATGGAAAATGGAATTAAAAAAAATAAAATAAATAGATAATGCTAGCAGATGTACAAAAATCAAACATGGCCCATTTCCCTCAACCTCAGGATAACTAATTGCTATTTTGATATCAACAAAATTTTCATTGCCTTTATGTGTGTAACTTGATGAAAGTTGACAACTTCTGAATCGAAGAGTGTTTTTTTTGTCATTTTCTGTTTAATATTACGAATAAAAACAAAAATAAAGATTTGTGTAAGTGCAAAGGTCACCAGATGTTATGTCAAAGACAGGAGTAGTCTGCTGATAATCTTTCATTACAAAACAATAACAGTAAATTTTGAAATATTTCGTCTGTCACATCCAGAATAAATACAAATCACTACATAGTATCAGTAATCACACTAATAATTAATATGAAATAACAAATGCGACTTTGATAAATTAATTAGCATATTATTAAATCTGTTTGACCTTGTGCGCTCCCGTGACCCGCTAATGGTTGTAGAGTATCAACATGCCACATGCAAGTTGAACCTTTGTTGATATATCTCAGGATCACCAATTGGTGTTGTGGTGAATATGAAGGGGTGTGATTCATGTAACTGTGATGTACATGCTGATGATTTTGTTGTCACAATAATAATTGTGTCCCACGCAAGACGTCAGTAGATATCGTCGATCGGCAATTATCATCCTCCACAACAAGTGCACAAAAATAAGTACTAAATATACGGATAACGGGATCGGGTGGTCAGGCTCGCTGACTTGGTTGTTGCATGTCATCGTATCCCAATTGCGTGGATCGATGCTCATGATATCAATCACTGGATTGTCTGGTCCAGACTCGATTGTTAACAGACAGCCATCAAATCCCTGTAATATTGCTGTGTGTGGCGTTAAACAACAAACAAACAAACTAGATATATATTTTCAGTAGTTTCACATTAAATTTGGTAAATGTATTGATTCTAGCATGATTTCAGAACAATTTATTCCATAAATGAAAATACCTCTATGGTTACGTATTGATGATAGATTTGTTAATTCTTTGCTATTTACAGCTGTTTACATTTCTAGTTATTTTTTTATATGTTAATTTTTCCACAATGAGTATTTGTATAGACGGTAAATATTGATGAATGCGTCAGCGCAGTGTAACTGATACATCTTACCTTTCATTTGAACAGCAATGAATAAATATTTATTTGATGTCATTCTTTAATTTTGGTATTCCATGAATAATAAATATATAACATCAATAACAAATATTAAAAACTCATATTGACATTCCTGTGTATTAAGTTTTTCCAAACAAAATGCTAAAATGTAACTAATAACAGGTTTTTGTCCATCAGTCAATGTGATGTATAAAATATCCAAATAAATGCAGATCATCACCAGCCTTGGATGTGACATCTTTGATCAGTTGATGGGCTTCAGAATATTCAGTCAGCATAGGTCCTTTAGGGTTCCCCATGTTTATTATTAAAGTGTTTAAAACATATAGAGAATCTCACCCGAGTGTCTTTTGATATCAAATATATCAACACGAGTTGATAAAAGTGGAAAAATTCTGAGACTTGCCGAGGATTTTTGCCACTTTTATCAACGAGTGTTGATATATTTGATATCAAAAGGCACTCGGGTGAAAATTTATTTATCATCCAACATCATTCTTTCAACTTTTTCAATTTGTAGGCAGTAATTAGCAGTGTCTTCAGTGTAAAAAGTACTGCAAACAGCTTCAGTAGCAGAGCCATTAGTGATGTCATTTGATTGTGACGTCATGGTAACCAATGACGTCACAATGGTCTGCAAAGCATTGTGATGTAATTTCATTGCAGCGTTATCTACAGTGGAGATATCGCTTGATCTCATCCAAGCCATATCTCCTGTGGGAGCCAGTTTTGGATGATAAATCATTTTAATCACTTAAATCCTACCAGAAATCAAGAAAAAAACAATCACAGGTAAAGTTTCAAAACGCATGCTAATTTCAATCACATGGCATTCGCAGGGCGGGGCCTGACCAACAATGTCCTAAAAATCAAAATATCGAAGGGACTTTGAAATGACAACAAAACACAAACTATATGGGTATATGCTCTGCAAAAAAGAAACGTAAAAGTGATTTTAGATGTATATTTTATTAGAGGTGTCACGATAAATCGAAATATCGATATATTGTTATTGGTAAGCACTTAAAGTCAATAAACCGATTGTTAAATCAGTTTCCGATCAATAGTATCAATTTCAGTTAGGAATATGGGTAGTTTCGATTGTATTTACCATATCAATAAAATACATGCAATGCTGTTCAAATTTGTTTTTCTTTTGATCATGAGTGGTAGTAATTTACACATGGTAATGTGGAAGTTTCTTTTTCCTAAATTATTAGGGTAAAGAAAAACAAGTCAGTCATATCTAAAACTTTACTTTTTATTTGGAAACTTCAGTTCCAAGGTTACATTCAACTCTAAAATCCATCTAAAATGATACACTGAAAAATATCGATATTTATCGCAATAGTTGCTTGCAATATCAATAGTTATCACAATAGTGATTTCCTGACCAATAGTCACCCCTATATCTTATACATCATATGAATAATTGTTCAAAATCGTCACACATTCTCATTGACTCAGGCTTCATATGGCACACGTGGAACAGTAGGTCATCTGTGCTCAATATCTTGTATGGACGCCATATGGAGTCCAAAACTGACTGGCATTGTCATCCCATTGAAGTAGTCAGATCCCGAATCAGTTCTATCAGTGTAGGAGATGGCTGCCCACATCATCACTCAACCACCTCCAAATCTGTCCACTTCCTGTATGCAGTTTCGGGCATAACGTTCCCCGTGACGCCTGTAAACATGACGTCTCCAATCCGTACAGCGAAGCATAAAACATGGCTTGTCAGTAAACCAAACTAGTCTCCATCGCAGGTGGCCATACTCTGAGACTTTGACACCTAGACTTTGCAGCCGACAATGCAGGTCCATCAAAATGACCCCTCGAACTGGTTGCCTAGCACGAATACCTTCAGAACGTAAACGGTTCCTTAAGGTCTGGGCTGATATCCTATGCACTCCTGGTATTTTAAACTTAAATTATTGCTTTCCTCAGTCAAAATATAATTCCTCATTGGCTAAATGTCAAAGCCCTGATATACATCTGGTGCTTGATCAATGAAATAGTTTTGTTTCACTGTCGGTTTTTTAACCAATACCGACAAGCTTCACTGTCAAACATGAAAATATCTCTTTTGGGGGTGTTTATGAAGATAGAAACCTAAAAACTGTGTACTCTGTAAATCAGCATGGCAAACTGGTTTTTATGTCTATACTTCCGTGAATGTGAAAACATATTGTAATCAATTCTTATGAATATAGAGATGAATAAATAAATGGATAATAATAACTTCACAGACTGCCTGTTTAATCATTAACATAAAAAACTTTGGACAACAATATGACATCGGTGACATTGTTTAGTGTAATAATACTATTAAATGAGCCCCACCCACTCTATCATCTATCAGTCAGGAAACAGTAGCCAATCAACTAGTACATGAGCCCCACCCACTCTATCATCTATCAGTCAGGAAACAGTAGCCAATCAACTAGTACATGAGCCCCACCCACTCTATCATCTATCAGTCAGGAAACAGTAGCCAATCAACTAGTACATGAGCCCCACCCACTCTATCATCTATCAGTCAGGAAACAGTAGCCAATCAACTAGTACATGAGCCCCACCCACTCTATCATCTATCAGTCAGGAAACAGTAGCCAATCAACTAGTACATGAGCCCCACCCACTCTATCATCTATCAGTCAGGAAACAGTAGCCAATCAAGTGTCATGGAATCACTTGAAATTTATTTGTTAAACCAGGCTGCGACATGCTTCTATTAATTTGTGCTCAGTGCCCGGAAAAGACCTTCTTACAAGGACTGGTCAGTTTTGAGTTCGAATACTGTGTCTAAGTGAGTTATCCATGTTAAACTATGGTGAGGTGAAGTGAAATGGGGTTTAATGTCGCGTCCAAGATTATTGCACTTATATAGTGACGTGCATGCACGTGTGTTGGTGGCTGCTTGTACTAGATTGGACTGATGCCGATTTATATTGCTAGCCCACTCAGATACCATACCGCAGTTTGACATGAATACCCCACTCAGACACAGTATACTGACTCTGAGCCGACCAGTCCTTGTTTTAGCCCCTTAATGCCGAGTGCCAGACAATGTAACAACAAGTACCATCTTTTAACGTCTTTTGGTATGATGCGGTTGGGGATCGAACCCCGGACCTACCGCTCTCTGGGCAGACGCTCTACCACTAGACCACGGAGATGGTCTGTTTAGCTATGGTGTCTCAGCGAGATACTAGTCAAGACTATTACACCAACATACACTTGCACATCACCATGTCGGTGAAATGACATCGAACCCCTTTTCACTTCACCTCTACCTTGATACGGTTGGGATATTGCAAAAGGCAGTGAAAAAAATACACCTCAATGATTTTACTTCAGTGTGAACTCAGGGCACTAGTGGCCTTGTCATGTGAAAATTTGGTTATATTTAATTTTCTGAAAATTGAGTAGTAGTAGTAGTAGTCGTAAAAGGCGACTAACGGGATCGGGTGGTCAGGCTCGCTAACCTGGTTGATGCATGTAAATCACTGGATTGTCTGGTCCAAACTCGATTATTTACAGACCGCCGTCATATAGCTGGAATATTGCTGAGTGCGGCGTCAAACAACAAACCAACCAACCAACCAACCTAGCACCTCCCAGGCAGCATGGGTTGTATGAGTTGACATCATGAGCATCAATCCACGTAATTGGGATCGATGACATGTATCAACCAAGTCAGCGAGCCTGACCACCTGATTTCGTTAGTCGCCTTTTACGGCAAGCACAGTCGCCTTTTACGGCAAGTATGGATTGCTGAAGACCTATCCTAACCCGGAATCTTCACGGGTCGGAAGTGCTAGGTTAATTAAAAGCCATGTTACCATCTCATCCTACCGAGTACCCAATAACAGCTGGGTGGACAGGTACATTTCAAACAAAGTCACTCGCCTAAGGAGACACGTGTTACATGTGCTTCAGTGTTGGACATAAGCCCTAGGAATTAGCAGGAGTCAAGCTGCTTAACGCAGTCATGATCCGTGGTATAAACCCTGCCTATGTTTAATACATGTATCAATAAAATGGTGTCCATATTGAATATTGACACTCCAAGGTCTCTCAGGACAAATGAGCCGACATGAAATAAAGGATGACAAGAAAATGCATTTCCAATTATTCCTGTCAGTAGTAGGGGGCACGAGTGGCCCAGTTGTCTAAGGCGCTGTGATTCACTGTGCAGAGTTGGGTCCCTTGGGCACGCCAGGAACCTATGATTGTGGGTTCGAATCCCGGTTCGTCAGCATCATACCCGTGCTCGTAGGTTTCACCGAAGTGGTAAACGTCTAAGACCTGTATCACTTTGGGCTTTCCTCCCACATTAAGCTGACACGCCATGATATAACTGTAATACTGTTAAAAGTGGCGTTAAACCCAACTCACTCACTCTGTCAGTAGTATGGGTGGCAGGGAAGCTGAGCGGATAAAGTGTCCACTTTTCATTCCGAAAACCTGTGTTTGATTCCCAACATTCCCATTTTTGGTGTTATCCAACGTGATATTGCTGGAATGTGGCTAAAAGTGGTCTAATACATTACTAACTCACTCACTTTCTGTATTAAAATATACTTTGTTTTTTCAGATGTATACTCACTGGACATTCCTGATGGTCCTCCTGGACGCCGTCTATCAGAGTGCTGTCCTCTACTTCATAGCTCACCTGGTAAGTCATGTAGCAGTGGTTAGGGTAAATACAGGGTAGTGAGGACATTCCACCTATCAGAGTGCTGTCACCTAATTCATAGCTCACCTGGTAAGTCACGTAGCAGTGGTTAGGGTATATACAGGGTAGGGAAAACACTCCATCTATCAGAGTGCTGTCCTCTACTTCATAGCTCACCTGGTGAGTCACGTAGCAGTGGTTAGGCTATATACAGGGTAGTGAGAACATTCCATCTATCAGAGTGCTGTCCTCTACTTCATAGCTCACCTGGTAAGTCATGTAGCAGTGGTTAGGCTATATACAGGGTAGTGAGGACACTCCATCTTTCAGAGTGCTGTCCTCTACTTCATAGCTCACCTGGTAAGTCATGTAGCAGTGGTAAGGCTATATACAGGGTAGTGAGGACACTCCATCTATCAGAGTGCTGTCCTCTAATTCATAGCTCACCTGGTAAGTCACGGAGCAGTGGTTAGGGTATATACAGGGTTGTGAGAACACTCCATCTATCAGAGTGCTGTCCTCTACTTCATAGCTCACCTGGTAAGTCACGTAGCAGTGGTTAGGCTATATACAGGGTAGTGAGAACATTCCATCTATCAGAGTGCTGTCCTCTACTTCATAGCTCACCTGGTAAGTCATGTAGCAGTGGTTAGGCTATATACAGGGTAGTGAGAACATTCCATCTATCAGAGTGCTGTCCTCTACTTCATAGCTCACCTGGTAAGTCATGTAGCAGTGGTTAGGCTATATACAGGGTAGTGAGGACACTCCATCTTTCAGAGTGCTGTCCTCTACTTCATAGCTCACCTGGTAAGTCATGTAGCAGTGGTAAGGCTATATACAGGGTAGTGAGGATACTCCATCTATCAGAGTGCTGTCCTCTAATTCATAGCTCACCTGGTAAGTCACGGAGCAGTGGTTAGGGTATATACAGGGTTGTGAGAACACTCCATCTATCAGAGTGCTGTCCTCTACTTCATAGCTCACCTGGTAAGTCACGTAGCAGTGGTTAGGCTATATACAGGGTAGTGAGAACATTCCATCTATCAGAGTGCTGTCCTCTACTTCATAGCTCACCTGGTAAGTCATGTAGCAGTGGTTAGGCTATATACAGGGTAGTGAGAACACTCCATCTATCACAGTGCTGTCCTCTACTTCATAACTCACCTGGTAAGTCATGTAGCAGTGGTTAGGGTATATACAGGGTAGTGAGAACACTCCATCTATCAGAGTGCTGTCCTCTACTTCATAGCTCACCTGGTAAGTCATGTAGCAGTGGTTAGGCTATATACAGGGTAGTGAGGACACTCCATCTATCAGAGTGCTGTCCTCTAATTCATAGCTCACCTGGTAAGTCACGTAGCAGTGGTTAGGGTATATACAGGGTTGTGAGAACACTCCATCTATCAGAGTGCTGTCCTCTACTTCATAGCTCACCTGGTAAGTCATGTAGCAGTGGTTAGGGTATATACAGGGTTGTGAGAACACTCCATCTATCAGAGTGCTGTCCTCTAATTCATAGCTCACCCAGTAAGTCATGTAGCAGTGGTTAGGGTATATACAGGGTTGTGAGATCACTCCATCTATCAGAGTGCAGTCCTCTAATTCATAGCTCACCTGGTAAGTCACGTAGCAGTGGTTAGGGTATATACAGGGTTGTGAGAACACTCCATCTATCAGAGTGCTGTCCTCTAATTCATAGCTCACCTGGTAAGTCACGTAGCAGTGGTTAGGCTATATACAGGATAGGGAAAACAATCCATCTATCAGAGTGCTGTCCTCTTATTCATAGCTCACCCAGTAAGTCATGTAGCAGTGGTTAGGGTATATACAGGGTAATGAGGACACTCCATCTATCAGAGTTCTGTTCTCTACTTCATAGCTCACCTGATAAGTCACGTAGTAGTGGTTAGGCTATATACAGGGTAGTGAGGACACATACTCTATCTATCAGAGTGCTTTCGTCTACTCCTGAGCTCAGCTGAAAAGCTAATAAATATTGAAACAACCTCTGCTGTCTGCTATTGTTCTCCCAATCAGCACACTTTACCTATTCTTAAAAGGACAGTATGTCGACTGATCTGAAGCATTGTTTGTAAACAATAACCAATAAGCCCTGAGCTTACATGGCCCTGATTTCCTTATTCTGCAAGAGAAGTTTCTGTCACGTGACCAGACTTTTTTATTGTTTGTAAACAAACACACTTATTTTGAAATAAGAACAAATGGACCTTATTCATGCCTTGAGGTGCATGATAGTATAGCTTTAAACATCAAAGTGACCATATTGATAGTGCTCTGTAGGGCTTCAATGACAGCACATGGAGGATAAATAAGAAAATGGAAATAGGTTTTCACATTTTAGGATATTTTCTCAATGAAAGTTTTAATTTTTTTATCTAATTGTGTAGACTCGCCCAAGGCTGGCCGCATGGAACACTGGGAAGGAGAGTAATTGGCTTCATGTGACCGAGACATATATTATTTTGTAATCTAGACTTTGATAAACACTGGCTTTTAATCTAGCTGGCAGTTAATATTTGGTTGCTGATCTGTAAGAAAAACTCACAAGCTTTCTCTCCAATTTACTTCTAATAAATAACATGAGTGAAGCCAGTTCCTCAGGACAGTGCTTGCGTTGTTGCCTTCACTGCAGAGCTATATTGTTTTGGTTTGAGACCATCTCCGTGGTCTTGTGGTAGAGCGTCCGCCCGGAGAGCGGAAGGTCCAGGGTTCGATCCCCGACCGCGTCATACCAAAAGACGTTAAAAGATTGTACTTGTTGTTACCCTGTCTGGTGCTCGGCATTAAGGGGCTAAAACAAGGACTGGTCAGCTCGGAGTCAGTATACTGTGTCTGAGTCGGGTATTCAGGTTAAACTGTGGCATGGTATCTCAGTGAGCTAGCACTATAAATCGGCTTAAGTCCGGACTAGTACAAGCAGCCACACAAACACACACACACACGTACATGCACGTTGCTTTATAAGTGCAATAATCTTGGACGCGACGTTAAACCCCATTTTACCTCACCTATTGTTTTGGTTTGAGAATTGAATGGGGCATGTGACGTCACACACAGAAAAAATTATTTCATGCATGATTTTGAAAATCAGAACCGTTGAGGTACTGCCCCTTTAACAAAAGTTGCTGGCAAATAGGGAAGACCCCGTGTTAAAACTAGGGCTGGCTGTCGATATATATCTTAGCGATTGATAATCATTAACTAATTAACGATCAATTATCTATAAATATCGGAGAAGTAACTTTGAGCCAGTATGCTAAAAGCTCAGAGACAAAACAACATATTCCACATCACTGGTGAGTGGTGACACATTTATGCATGGATTACTTTATGGACATTAAAGATATAACAAAATCAGTTGCATGTCATCTTCGGGAATGGTCAAAAACAAGTCTGCTTCGGTAAATATAAACTTTATTTCATCACAATAGTTTGGGTAAGATATTAATGTTGACACAATTTTTATTGATAATCAGTAATATTTCTTTCCATCAACGATAATTCCGATTATCGATCTTTTTAGCCAGTCCTAGTTAAAAAAAAACTACATGATAAAAACCAGTAGACATTCTCACCAGATACAATGTGTTGTTGGAAATCACAGCAGAGGCTTGCAAATTACAACACCTGTAAAGTTGACATTGTGATACCAGCTGTTGTGTAAACTGGCTTAAAACAAAAACACCAAACATGTGTCCCTATTGAAAATCAATTGTATCTACATTCTCTAACAACAGTGTGAGTGTTTAGTCAGGCTTAGGAAGTGTGTGTGTGTCTATGGATTATGTTGTAGTTAATATTCTGTAAACTAGTTCGAAGATTAAGGGCAGTAAGTTTGTGGTTTAAAACAGTTCAGTCAATAGTTGTAAACTAGCTGTTGACAAGATTGTAGGATGTATATCAATATAGGCAGACATTTATATGGTACTTTACATTGTCTGACAGCTTATCCCTGGGAAATGTTGACGTACATGACATGGTCATCATTGATCAAATTTTGTTCCCTGTTGGAAGTTGTTATTTTATATACCGTATTCGAATAAGCACCCTGCTCCAATAAGCGTCCACGACAATATTTGCTAATATATTGGATAGTGAACAATCCCAATTAGCAGCCCTTCCGATTGATCAATGTACACAAGACTTAATTATTTGTGGAAAATATGCACTCGTGTGTTATATGCACCCTTAATTATGGGCACCGCCCGGAGAGCGGAAGGTCCGGGGTTCAATCCCCGACCGCGTCATACCAAAAGACGTTAAAAGATGGTACTTGTTGTTACCCTGTCTGGCGCTCGGCATTAAGGGGCTAAAACAAGGACTGGTCGGCTTGGAGTCAGTATACTGTGTCTGAGTGGGGTATTCATGTTAAACTGCGGCATGGTATCTCAGTGAGCTAGCACTATAAATCAGGATCAGTCCGGACTAGTACAAGCAGCCACACAAACACACACACGTACATGCACGTCGCTATATAAGTGCAATAATCTTGGACGCGGCATTAAACCCCATTTCACCTCACCTAATTATGGGCAATTAAATTCTGGAAAAATATATTTGTCGTATATAATCATTTCAGGATGTCAGCATAAACCACGAAATTTACGATCTTTTAACTCTGTTTTTTTTTTCCCACCAAAATAATGTTCTATTAAGATCCCCCTATTTCTAATTTTGAGAGAGCCCTTGGTGCTTATTACGTCGAATACGGTAATAGTTGAGGGATGAAGTGAATAATAAATATTTTGAAATAAAGTTAAAATAATATAGCTTCTTGTTGAATGATGCACAGCATCCTGTATCATTGTTGTGATGTTGGGGAGATATTGTAACAAATAACTTCCAAAGTATTCAGAGCCAGGTTTCATGACTGTTAATGCAAGGATAGAAATTAACCAAGAACGTCTACTGCCCCATGTTGTGAGAATGTCAATGATGGTCAATCACATGGAATTAGTTCCACTCAACAAATCTTG